AATAAATCTTTTATTTTTTTTTTGTTACTTATTCCACGTCCGAGAAAAAGAGGATGAAAAGAAAAAGAAGGATTAGGAGATGAAAAGAAAAGGAGAAAGAGGAGAAGAAAAGAGAAGGAAAAAGAAGGAGGTGAAAGGGAACAGAAAAAGTAGAAGTATCTGAGTCTCTATCTATATTGATCAGCTACACTCGCAGCAGATCAGAGGAATATACAAATTGAGCGTTCAGTATTCCCCCTCCAGTCCTTATACCTGTCTCTCTGTGGAACAGAGGAAAATGTATGATTCGTATAGTTCTTTTTTAGCCGGCAAGTCAACAACGTTACGAGCTGTAAGGAGTGGGCGTAGATTGGTTGAAATAAGTTGGTACACTGCTCCCTATGAATCATTGTAAGTACATGTACCCTAAAAACACATTAGATCACAAGGATTACCGTATATTGTCTCGCATGTTTAATTTTTCCAAAGAACTTATCAACATCATCTTATAGAGTTGCCGTACTAATATAACTTTTTCTATTTTGAAATTGCTCCAGAAAAATTTTAAAAAATATAGAATTATTCGTCTCAAAAAATGTATAAAATAAGAAAAATGAAGGCTGTATGCGCATACGTGGCCCCTAAAAATTGCCCCCTAAAAATCTGGATTTTCACGAGAAGTCACATAAAGAAAGAAAAACAAATCTATTTGAATTGAAAAAACTCGAAATTTTCAGTACAAGAAGTGAAAGCTTGCTTTTCCATTCTTCACGATTTCATTCTTTATTAGTACTTTTGTCTTCCCCAAGTTACAGTTACTTACTGGTTTTGTTACGAAAACATCTCGCGTCTAACTGTTCACTAAATGCGCCGTAATATGTATATATAGGCAGAAAGTCAATTTGGCTCCTAAAAAAATCTTCAATGGCGCCTATAAATCGGGTTTGATGCGCCACATGGCTCCTAAAACTCAAAGGTGAGTTTCGAACACTGGATAAAACATCCAAATGCGATATATTGCATGGTTTAGGTAGGGCTATGGCTTGTCTTGTCGTGCTAACATACCATAGTCCTTTCAATAATTGGCCCGCTGAAGTGGTTTTTCCTACACGGAGAAAAAACTACGTGCAAGGGACCCGAAGTTGAGATCATATGGATCTCTGAAGTTTTCGGATCACGCATCCAAAAACTTGAGGTCCACCTGCCGAAAATCGGGTCAGACTTCTAATGTACTTTGGCACATACCGAAGGGTTCAGGTCGCACATCTGAAGTGCTCCGGTACATACCGTGAGCTTCAGATGTCTGACCCGAACTTCGGCGGTTGGACCTCAAGTTTTCGGATGCGTGATCCGAAAACTTCGGAGATCCATATGACCTCAACTTCGGGTCCCATGCACGAAGTTTTTTTCTCCGTGTACCTACCTATGTGTGAATATTAGAAATAAAAGCAGGTTACGTATGACCGTATCTCAATGTCAAAATCAAAAGACAATTGCTCATCAAAGATCTAAAATAAGTGGATCAAAATGATAAACAAGGGATTTAGGTATCTTATTCCCATCAATGGCAATTGAATTAGATCTTGTTGGTGTTTGGTATCAAATTCGCACATAAGGTCTAAACTCGATGGAAAATCCCTATAGTGACGTCACTGAGAAAACAATCCACGGCAGGACCTACTGGATCAGCTCCGTCTCGGTTGTAGCTATGTTGAAACCGGTTTCTTTTTCGGGCGATGACATGGCAGTAACCCCGCCGATTTGGACCGCGCAATGCGTCTCGCAGTCATAGTTTCGGCTGAGAAATCCGCAGCGCCGCAGCCGCTACCACCGGCACCTCCCGAGGATTAGGTAATTAATTAGCCACTGGACCGGAAAGCAATATATCGTTCACAACACGAGTTAATTGCCGAAAAACCGACGCACTCATTGAAGATCTAATCGCTTCTAAATTCGGTTCATGGGTGGAAATTGCGGGTGGGAGTTTGCCGACTGGAAATCTACTTGGCCCCTGCTCCTCAGAAATGTGAGGAATTTTGAAGTATACAAGACATATCTTTTATCTTCTAGTCCAGGGGCCACGAAGTCACTTTCGCGTGCCACCCTGAAACTTTCAGGGTATCTTCTAGGGGCCCTGGGACACCTTGTTCCCACAATCAAAATGTCCGTTTCCCGGGACAATATATTCAAAATGGCCGCAAATTTGATTTAAGAATTTCTTCGTAATGAGGGCGGAAAATTGACCGGGATTTCGAATTCTGCGACCCGCTGAAAACCTGACCATTGACACCTCACTGTGTACCTAATGTTGCATACCTAGCACATTGTTTCACATTGACGCTGAACAGTAATTTCTGCCGCCTTAGGCATGGTTACATTACGGAGGAGGGACTACCGAGGTTAGAGGAGAGGAAAAGGGAGGTTGGAGAACTAAATAGGAAGAGGGTAGTCAGGGCCGGATTTACCTACTTGCCGCCCATGGCCGCCTGTATTTTGCCGCCCTCATCTCATTCGTCTTGAAACATCAATAAAAACCATCAAGTGAGCGTGCCGGAGAGGAGGGGGTGTATAAGACACGTTTACCTACTCGTGTTGGATACATTTTTTGCGAAAGCCCTGTCAACACTACTAGCAAAATTTCACGGAACTTTGCGCGAAAGTTAAGTTCCGTAAACCTATCTCTGTGTGGACAAGATCCTCCAGTTATAAGAAATGAACCAAAAAATTATGAAAGAACAAACCTAAATATGGTTTAATAATTTTAACTTCCACCGCCGCGCCGCGCTGATCGCCCTGTGTTTGGCGCAATGCGTGAAGTATTCCTGCAGTCTTGTAGGCGCTATGCGCTTCACGCCAACCGCTCTTGACCGCGCTGTGTTTGGCGCAATGAGTGAAGTATTCATGCAGTCTTGTAGGCGCTAATATGTGTTACATGCCGACCGCCGCGCCGCGCCGAGGACTTGTACTTTTCATCTCAAGTCCTCGTCATCATTCCTCTCTGCGCCGAGCTCCAGGCCAAATTGCGTGTTTAGTTCCTCCCTCAACTCGACTAATTAAAGATGCTGTCCCTCGTATCACCGAAAAACCGAAAGAAAAGAGAAAACCGAAGTGGAAAGTGTAAACCGGAAATATGAAGTGAGAACTAGAAGTTGAAGGTGAAAACTGTTTTACAAGGGACACCGGAAATGGGAAGAGAAACCGGAGATGGAAGTTGTTAACCAGTAATGGGAAAATGAAAACAGGAAATAATAAGTTAAAACCTGAAGTGGATGGAGAAAATCGGAAGTGGAAGGTGAATACCGGAAGTAAGTATATGAGAAAACCGGTATAATTATGTCCTCATATGCGCATCTTTGACCCTAGCCGGAGACAGAATGGAAAAAATGCATGCAAATTTTTTATTGCTTCATCTGAAAGTGCTTAAAGGGCTGATTTCACAGTAATTTTTATAATTTTTTTCTGATGTTGGAAATAGTGTAAAAATAGATTTAAAAGTGAGAAAATGCACCGCCCAGTGACGTCATCTGGCAGCATTTCCCTTTTAACCACATGTATTTTAGCATATTTGATCATTTTGTCATATATTCTCCAATAATTGTTAAATTCATGAATTAAGAATATATCCTCGTGTTCAGTTCACTCCGTAGTTTCCACTTACCTAAACACAAACATCAGACACCTAGGCAAATTCTCTATTAATGATTATGTGGTTACGATTTTTTACTTCGCCGCAGTATTTCACAAATAATGTAAAACACTGGGAGGAACCCTGAAGGCAAACACTGAATTTAATCCCTCAAATTAAATGAAACGTCGGATTTGCATAAACAATAAACAAAGTTTAATTATATCAACAACTTGGCAAGCAAGTTGTGGTGGCAACGGGTGGTCGGTGTACTACTCATTCATAAAATATAGGTCAGCTGATATTGAAGCTGAAAACATATCTCTTACGTTACGTGTAAGTAATTTTGTTGACGTTTTGTCAGTTTCTCAAGATCCCCTTTATTTTCTTCTCGTTTTGAATATTGCGGCTCAAGTTTATCTTTGACGCTGGGATTACATATATTTTTCTTTTAGTTTTGGCAGTTTCTATTCTGTGACTTCGCATCATCAATTTCAACAATGTATCCGCACTGCTCAGTTTCTATTTAATTTGTTTCATGCAGGCAAGTACTTGTGCACAACACCATTCACGCTTTGCCTGTTAAGTCCTCTCCAAATAATTATTTATTTTTTCTTACTGATTTCACCACTCACTCCATTAGAAGTAGGAGAGAGTTTCTTAGTTTTTATTTATCACTTTTGCTGAGTCCTCGGATGACGATTAAATATTTCACTTATTCATCAATTGTCTACGAAGTACCCATCCTATTAACGTACTTATCACAGAATCTAGCCATCCGGATTCCAGCATAAGAATTATTCTTGGTTAACAATCAATGCTATTAATCACGTAGCTATAATCAAAATGGACCTCCTTTCTGTCACTACCTACTAGGCAGAAACTTTGTTAAGGAATGGAGTATTTCAAAAGCCATAAGTTACCTAACCAAGCACACCCGCTCCAATAGACTCATTATTGAATATGCTCATCAAGATAGTTTAAAGTTACACACTATGGCTTTTTTCTATAAATATTTTGTTGTTAACTGAATGTTCTGCAGTCCTATGAATAATTCTCTACTCCGTCTGAAACCTTTGCATGCACACTGCTGAGTCACAGCTTGTTCACTGTTTTATCATTTTGAGCCAGCTAATTTATCATCTGCAGAGAGTTTCTGAAATTAACACCTATTTTTAATGTGATATCCTTTACTGCGAGTAATTTATTTTTAAATTAGCATCAAGGTGTTGTATACTTGAATGGGGGGAACTAATTTCTCATGCTTGTCAATTCCTCTCCTCTTCTCTTGATATCAATGCTTAGAATTTTGTTTTATTATTTTCATATGTGTTTATTTTTCTCATGTCCAGATCCAACCACCCAGAAACCAATTCAATCTTTTTTCTTTCAGATTTTTTTCTCAAATGGCCGGAAGATATCAAAGGTGCCTTTGATCAAGAATGCAGATAACCTTTCATGAGTGTATCATCTGGCATTTGGAGCTGATGTGCCCGCAGTTTTGTTTTGGCCTAGGAGCAGGATAAACTAACATCTGCTTCCAGAGAATATAATGTGGAAACTAAACATAAGACCCGTGACTTATATCTTAATCTCCTTTTCTCTCAGCAACTATTATTTTACTTTTGGAAACATAAGAAAGTAACCACCCTGCCATAAAATGTTAAGAACTAAAGTTCGAATTCACACCTGTAAAGTTATTCTAATCACATCACTAGTATGGGTATTAATAGATGTAATTTTGTTAACATTTTACTCTGACTGTATCGGGCCAGGTTGCAATAGTAATGGTAACAATAACTTTGTCACCAATAATCTCAACAATGATGGAATTGATAATGCTCTCCGAAGACGATCAATAGATAATGAAATCAAAAATGAAGAGTCAAATGGTCACCATAAAGATTCAGATGATAGATTTTCTAATAGAGAACAATCAAAAGTAGTTATCTCTGCGAACAAATCAAAGCGACTAAGGTCATGGAAACCTGCCCCTCCGGTTACTCCGCACAAAAAACTACCTGGAGAGCTAGGAGAAGGTGTGCATGTCAAAAACGATGAGCTTGCGAAAGAAAAGTTCAAATTAAACCAGTTCAACATTATTGCCAGTGATGCCATAGCCTTGAATCGCTCTCTAAAAGATGTTCGCTATGAAATGTAAGATATATTCTCTTTGTTCACTCTTTATTTTTAAAATGCCCCTCTAATGTATCTCCTCATCTATTTTAATCTATCATGCTCCTCGCTGACTAGTGCATCTAATTTTGCACCGCTGATTCCAATAAAGTAATTAAGAATGAAAAGAATCTGTACAGCTTTCAATAAAAGAAAATATAAGCTAGAGTGGAGTGAAAGAATTACAGTAAGTCAGAATATATTCATTTGTGTAAATAGACTGCAAGAATCCTATCGCAGATAGTGAAGTATATTCTTTTAAAAGATAAATTGAAATAGTACGAAGAAAGAAAAATACCTATCTATTATTTATTTGCATAACTTGCATTGAAATTTTTTCATAACTATCACAGGTTCTCCAAGGAAAAATTAGTTGACCATGTTGTAAATAAAGTATTGTTCACGGAGAAGAAAAATTTATTCAGAATATTTCAGCAACTGATAGTTTTTAAATATCCTTCTTTTTTTACAGGTGCAAACATAAAAGATATCCCGCCAAATTACCATCCACAAGCATTGTCATTGTTTTTCATAATGAGGCTTGGTCTACTTTGCTACGAACTGTTTGGAGTGTCATCAACAGATCACCCAGGGAATTATTAGAGGAAGTTATTCTAGTTGACGATGCTAGTGAAAGAGGTAATTTTTTTGTAAATATTTTTACTAATTGAGCTGAGTGTGGCACACTTTCCTTTGATAAATCTCAAAAATGCCAAGGTAAGTATTTCATCAACCATTGGTGCCATGTAATATACTTTGAAGTTTACGGTAGAAACATTGAGATCATATGTTCATAGGTAAATATATACTTGGATTGTGAATGCATAACGCAGAGACCCGTATTTTGTCCTGTCAGTTTGGTTTCTCCCTAACACCAGTTTAGGTCAGCAGGCATTTGATATCACTCATCTTTTACATAAACATTCTAGTCAACTTTTATTTTTCTGGTTTATAATGTGGTAATATCATTTTAACATTAGGTACCATCAAGAACTATTCGCACAAAAGAAGTGAAGAAAAGTTTTAAAACAGGAATAAAGGTAAAGGCTAAAGGTAATAGGAGGAAAAAGAGCACTTTGAGGACGTTTTCAATCACCTTTATCTGGCAAGGTTTCAGACCGAACTGAACTAAGAAAAGAGAACTACTTTTAAAAACAGCTGACGCTTTTTGCCAACAGTGGGATATGTTTCTAAATAACCTTTAATGACAGCAGTAATAGTTCAATATGAAATAAGCATTGGTTTTTGTATGGCACCTTTATTTTTTGTTTTTTAAACGTTATCTTTTTTTCTTTTCTTGCAGATCATCTTGGTAAAGAACTGGATGATTATGTTGCCACCCTCCCTGTGCCTGTCAAGGTTTTAAGAACACCTAAACGCTCTGGACTAATACGAGCTAGATTACTAGGTGCAAAGCATGTTGAAGGTAGTGTCATCACATTCCTGGATGCCCATTGTGAGTGTGCGGAAGGCTGGTTAGAGCCATTGCTTGCACGAATTGCTCTAAATAGGTATGTTTAATACCAATGCCTCTTATCACATCTTTGGATAGTGAAAAATTCAGTGGTAAAACTACGAAAACTTAAAAGCCAGCGTGCTGTTTAGTAATCTCTCACTCCTCAAGACCTTAGACAAAGACTTATCATTATTACACTTCAAGACGCAGAGTAATTTTTAATTGAAAAGCTTGTCAACAGGTAAAGCAGAAAAATTGGTAATTCCATTGCAATTTTTGAAAATCTCAGAGAATGTTTTAACTTTTAAAGGAAATGAACCAAATAACTCTTATACGTCTTTTGTGAATTTTCTCTTCTCATTCAAAAATAGGTAGGTATTCACAAAAAATTTCAAAGATATATTTTGTTTGCTTTCATTTTAAAAAATAAAATATATCCACTCTCAGATTCTGTCAAAGAAAATCTGTTATTTAGTATTCTCTCTAAAAAAGAAAATGCAAGTGGAGATTTGCAACATCGCAAACAGAACCACAAAATTTTTAACTTAAACAGTACATATTCAGAAAATGTGTAATACTTTGACAGATTCTGTTATTTAAAAGAGTTACAGTTAACATTTACTTGTGCAAATACATACTAAGCTCAGAAGTATCTTCTTAGCCTTTGAGGAGGTTTTTGTCTCTCCTGAAAAATCCAATTTTTGGCAAAGTTCACCTCAAAAATGCCTGATTTGTCTATCTGTAAATGTGATTATTCTGTTACATTTCTTTGAGTAGTATTTCTTTATTTTAATATAATAAAAAAAAAGTTAATTTGCATCTGTCTCTTAACTTTTGATTTTTAATTTAAGCTAGTCAATTTTAAGTACCTGTAAATTCTCTTTCGTTAGTTCTTAGTCCTTTAAAATGTCGGTGAATTTTTTCAATCATTTCTGACCAGTCAAAACTTGTGAGGATAAGATGACACTTGTTACTCTACGTTTGCAACTGACTATGCTGCTGATGTCTTTTGCTGTCAAGCAGTGACTGAAAGTAATGACAACACTGTACAAATATATGTTTGACATTTTACTGTGTTTGGCAGTAAAAAATAAATTAATATCGGCATATCTAACATGACTTGTTATGTACTTTGCACCATGAAAATGAACATTATTGTATCATATGTCCTATTCACCTTTCAGAAAAACAGTTGTCTGCCCAATAATTGATGTAATATCAGATGAAACATTTGAATATATCACAGCATCTGACATGACTTGGGGCGGATTCAATTGGAAACTTAACTTCAGATGGTAAGCTTACCATACATTCGTAAAGGTTATAAAAGGTGTCAACTCAGTAACCTCAAACATTTAGCATCATACCTTCGTCACTGGAACTTATTTTTCTTGCAATCCATCATGCTAGACCACTGTGGCTCATTATTAGATTATAGGCAACCAAATTATTTAACTCATGCTAAATGTAGCTAGGATATTTATCCAGGTACAGAGTTTATACAAAAACAAACAGAAAGCCTTTCCTTCAATTTTTACTCTCTTGCTCCCTCGCAGGCACATAGAGAAAGCATTGTCGTTGTCCAAAAAAAAAAGGTGATATTTCATCATTTCTAGGCTTTTTAAGGTGCTTAGAGTCAAATAAACCCTACTAAAAAAAAAAGTATGTTGGTCCGTCAGGCGGTCCTTTTTCTGTGTACAGCCATATCTCAAAATCTATTTGTTCAATTTTTTACGATTTTGTTCATCTTGATTTTCCATTCTCCTGTTTAAAAGAGGGTGATACTTAAATAGCTTATTTCAATCCAGGTATCGGGTACCTCAAAGAGAAATGGCGCGCAGGAAGAACGACCGCACTGCTCCTCTACGAACTCCAACAATGGCTGGTGGATTATTCTCTATTGACAAAGACTTTTTCTATGAACTTGGAGCTTACGATGAAGGAATGGACATCTGGGGTGGCGAAAATCTAGAAATGTCTTTTAGGGTAAGTTCTGATAAGAGTAATTTATTTATTAGTCACTTTTATTTTGCAATTACTTGTTATCTGAATTCTACAAGTTAAGGCCAGGAAATTTTAAGTAAAACGCCAGTGGACTTTTTTAACTATCATTTTGTTTCTAATATAACTACTAAAAAGTTCTTCAAAAATTTTGGGAAAAATGTAAAGAAGACTGAAAAGCAGATCATGATAGGAAATCATCTAGATAAGCGTGGCCAATATTGTAGTATTGCATAATTACCAGTACATGCAGCTTTGACATTTAACTCAATTTTTGTGAATCTAAAACTTCAAATTATTTTGAATTTACCTTCTCTGTTGAAGTTTGTTTTTGCTTCTGATGAATGCAAACCTTTGCACAAGGTTGCCACAGTCAGGGAATTTTGGGAAATCTCGGAGAATGCTAAAAAGTGAGGGAGAACTTGGCAATTTCAGAGAAAAATTGTTGTTAAGTTATCTTTACTTGCTTTCTGGGATAAGTTTGACGTTTTGATCGACAAATCTTGCCTGAACACTTCTTCAAATTATGTCTTCGAAACTTTCTGGCATATATTCAATTGTCAGAGAATTTTACCACAATATGTCAAGGAAATTAGGGAACTTCATTTTCTAAATTCTGTGGCGATTTTTTATTCATACCCATATAAATCTGTCCATACATATACATTTAGTGTCTTGAATTCGCAAATAACCCTTAATTATTTAGACCTTTTTTTTACCTTGCTTTTGTTCTTTTTGTTTGTGCTCATTTCCATCCAATGTTCAGTGGATCAGCATTTCAATGTAACCAAAAACCGTTGAAATTGAAATGCTCTCAGGGCAAAATTTATTTTGTGGCAAAAATTTGTTCTTAGATCCCCATATTGAGTAGAATTTATTCAGGTTCAATTCAAGCCTGAAAGTATGAGCTTTTTTTTCAAACTTCATAGAAATGCAAGAAGAAAAAAGTGAAAAAGATTCAAAGATTGGCTTGAGAGGTTACTCTAGATCAATAACCTATTTTCCCCATTTGTGTGTTTTTGTTCAGTTCAAAGTCCCATTTTTCACTCTGCCAGATCTCGTACCCTTACTGAGCCCTTTCAAATCGTATTCTAATTCTTATCAATGGTGAAACTGGAGATAGGTGTTCCATAATTGGGTTGTTTCAAAATATCTCATTTTTTGCAGTTTTTCAAACAAGTATGACATTGGGTGAGATTTCCGGAGAATACACATGATAAAATAAAGAGAAAAACACAACGAATTTCAACAAAAATCATCATTGTTCCAAAGAATACAATGCGTATGACCAAAGATCTGCCACAATGCCAATTTGAATAGTTGTTTTCCCAGTTTCACCATTAATACACTCCTGTGATAGTGTAATGCAAAGCTTTTGTTTTGATCAATAAGAGCACTAATATTGCCTTTAAAAGCAGTGTCAAATTATTAAAATGATTGTTGAGATATTGTAGTTTTAAATATGTTAACTGTGTCTTAAATAATTGAATCAGTGAGAACGAAAACACACCAATTCGGTAACTGGAAAATGCTCAACTTCCATTGAAGACAGTTAATTTACATGAAGGTCAGTGAAGTAAGCGCATCCATTCCAACTTGGACCTTTAAAGTGTCCATAAGTCCTTGTCTTTCGGAAGCAAAAGTCTTTCTTAAACTAACTTCTTCACCGACTGTGCAGTTTTATGTGTGTCTTGATAATTTTCATTTTTCCGAGTGGGTGTGTTTTTATTCTCACTGATTCAATTAATGACAAATATTTTGTGTTTTACGTAATGTTTCACTCAATTTCTGTTTGCTCCTGTGAGTATATACATATCTACATGCACTTTAAAATGAAGTCATTGTGTAGCCATTTACTGTCATTTTAGCTAATCTTTTTCCATTACCCATGATTGCTGTTGTGCGAATCTCACAGTTCCATCTCTTCAGCTAATTCTTTGGTCACTTCATTACTCATTCTCATCCTTTATATTTTAATATTTATTTTTAGTGATAGTTGCGTCTCAAAAAGTTGCAGTTTCCTCTTTATTCTCAAATTGTGGTTTACAAGGTGTTCCATGGTTGATGAATGCATCAACTTTTGTGGGTTTTTTGCTGTTTGATATAATTTACCTCATTTTATACATGAACTTGATGAATTAATCACAGCTCATTAATTGGACGTATTTATTGAAAGTGGTTCATCTACATTGAAAGATTTAAGAAAGAACCTATCTGTTAAATAGATAAATCAAAGTGTAGGATTTGAGTTGGGAAGCTGGTTAAATTTTTGCCCAAGTGCTATCATGAAGGGGAGTCAAAGCAGTAGAAAAATATTACTTACTGAGCAAGATGCAGATGAAGTGTTTTTCCCTAAATTCTCATACAAATAGAGGCATTTTGCAAAGTGTTGCCTCATATAGAAATTACATCCAGCAGAAGAAGTCTATCTGCGGGCGAGATAACAACTTCCATAATATGGTAAAAAATTGGAAAAGGGACCATTAGACAAGGTATGAATTTAAGCATTCTGATACATATTTCTTTACTAGAATTTCACGTAGAACACGATTCTTGCATCACAAATTACTGCCCTGAACTCCTAACTAAGATATTAACGTTTTAATTTATACATTAGTTACGGGAAATTTGAATTGCCTGGTCTCAAGAAACACAATACTCTATGTGAGTCAAATCGTGCACTACAACGGTTGTGACAGGCTTCTCCATCAATCACTGTTCATTTCCCATTCTTAATTGTTCTAAGTGTAAACAATTTGCTATAGCTGAGCCAAAGCGTCAAGATGGAGATCGCCATATGTTTCATATCGCAGAGACTGCCACGGTAAGGTTTAGTTTGTGATCTAACCTACGTGGACCATTGTGTTTTCATGAGCTGAAGATTTGAATTCACACCTCAAGAAACATTAAATATCTTGGTTAGGAGTCCATTTCAGTAATTTTCGTTGCATGCATCGTGTTCTACATTAATCTTTTGTTAAGAAATATGTATCAGAATGCTTAACTTCGTACCTTGTCTAGTGGTCCGTACTTGCAGGTAGTTTGAAAGTTTATGGGAAGTAATTTGAGTGATTTTAAGGAACTGAAGATTTTTGTGCCGCAACACCTTTCTTCTCTTTTTTACTTGATGCAGGAACACTTGTTTCATTAACACGTGAAAGCTAATTTGTTGGTGGAAACTACCTTTGTCCGTATCTGAGCATTACTGTGTCATTAATACATGTTATCTGTAGGTGTGGCAGTGTGGTGGCATCCTAGAAATAATTCCATGTTCTCACGTGGGTCATGTTTTTCGTGATAAATCCCCCTACACTTTCCCTGGCGGTGTTTCAAAAATTGTTTTACATAACGCTGCTCGTGTTGCTGAAGTTTGGATGGATGAGTGGAGAGATTTCTATTATGCAATGAATCCAGGTAAAATGTGACCCATCTAAAGTATTTGGTCCTCTGTATTATGTTCGTCTCCTTTTGTTTGTTCAATCATCGGTTGTGGTTTTTCTTCTTTTTCATAATGGGTCACAGACTTAGCACTAAATTTTAAAATCAGCTGCTCAAACTGCCTCTAAATGTTGTATCATCTGGGTTATAACAGTATGCTTTGCAATTCTTTTCTATATACATATTTAGTTATTTTGTTGTGTACTATGTCTTTCAGTTTGTATTAGTCTCTCTCTATATCACACAATTTAGATTTTTTTTATCAGAATGTATATTGCCGTTTATAACTGAAAAACTGTATGAAACGGATATTGTTTGTGGCTGTAATTCCCAATAATCGTTTGGTGATGGAATCATTTTTTGGTGAAACTAGCTGGGCATGAGGACTGTTTCAAGTTATTATCCAACTAATGTTTGCATTATTTTTTATTCTGCCATTAAGGTTTCAAAAATCTCTGCATGAACTGGAACTAAAAAACATATCTCCACTAAAATTATTTTCAAAACCATAAAAGCATATAACTTGTGAGCAAATCGATTGATTATTGTGTTTCTACAAAACCAAAAGTACCATTGGCAGTTATGTCTCAAAATTAGAACAATCATCAACATCAGCATTCCCAATTTATTTATCAATGGGCCAACTCACAGTACACTGATGCTCCGATTTAGAAGAATATCTCTTGGAATTTCACTTAAGCCATCATATTCCGATAATACACCCCACAATTGTCCGTTTGTAGCTCCAAGGAAATCCAAAGCTTTCGATTCCCCTGTTATTACAGGATATTATAGACTGGTTTACATCCTGTAATTTGACCTCTGCAAAATTAAATGGACAGTGAAATACATATTGCATCAACACCAGAACCTGTTGGCAGCATTATCAAACCATTAAGTAGTTGCCGCCAAGTGCAGGTGTTTTGTCCTACAGTTTTGTTTTACAGCACAAAATGGTCATGTAGCTTTGCTTCTGCTGCCATTAGATGCTTTCAATAAATGCTGAAGCATCAGTCATGGTCATGTTATTTATTTTTGCCGTATCTGAATTTACAAATTAGTACATTTTGCATTTAAAGTCAGCGTTTTTAGTTTTAACTGAATTTTTTATCAATATATTTAACTTTTCTTACCTTTTCTTAGCATTGCTCCTCATTTTAACCTCAAAGAATGATTTTACTCTAACCAATTGCTAATTAACACCTCCTCTAACTTACTCTGATTTTAGATCTCAGAAGTTGTGCTACTTTTAAGAACAATACCGCAAACTTACAAGCTTACTAATCATTTTCATTTATTTCATGTCACTGTTCTGTAGATAACAGGTCATCTTTTTGTTTTTGCGTTTGTCTGTGAAACAAGAAAGAGAAGGTTAGAAAGCACGGGAGATGTCACCAGAAAGAATAATTAACCACACAGGCTGTACATCAAGGGCAAATATCTTTAAAGGATATACCTAATCAACTTTTCTCTACCTAATTTCTCCCCTCCCCCTTCCTCTTCTATATGTATTTATGTGGATGGGCAATGAGCAGTTTTGGGCATCATCGACCGTGCCGGGGCAAATCAGCCATGCATCATCAACAATTACTAGGAATCGTTAATGATGTGCAATTTTGTTGACCAATGATGAAAAAATCAGCCACATTCATGCATTTTTCATGATGCTCGGTTGGTCAAGTGCATTATTAAATTACAATTAACATCTTGCACTGTGTTTCCATGGCCAAGGAAAACACTGGCAAACACTGATTGTGTGACCAAAAGTGACTATAAAACTTGGTGAGCTTTGGAAAAAGCAGTCTTTGCCCGAAACCTAGTCATTGCGTGTGACATATGTGCACATTAGTCTATGAAGTTTTTAGGTACAAGTTACCCTAGGTTAAAAAATTAAGCAGAATAATACAGCCTCATTTTTCAACTTTACAAGAACTTTTTATAAATTAAAGTTGAGGATTTCAAATCGGTGATCTGACTTTTGATGGAATTCAACTCTCATTAATTTAAATATCAGTACAAAGTAACAGTTTCCTAGAGACATTAAAGCTCTACAATTAGAAGTAGCCGTAACAAAGGAAGTGGATTTCTGAGCTATTTCGTTTCATTTAAGCACATTCCGCAATGTAAACAAACTTTTAGTTGTATTGACGTATAACTTGTGTAGGCCCAAGTTTAATTTAATTTTTAATCGATATTTCATACCGGTCCTTTAATTTACCATTTAAAGAAAAAATTTAGCCTTCTTTTTTTTTTGCTCTATCCTTCTTGCCTACTAACTAACATACTTTGTGGGTTGCAGCTGGTTCTTTTAGTGGTATTCCACGGCTTGCCTGCACTAGAACTAAATAATCTAGTTCACATTGAAGCATTTTACTACTAACTAAATGTTACCTACTTTTCAGAGTTTTATTTTTAAATTTAATAGCAAGCCTGTTGTAATAATTTTTTGCAGGAAATGGGTGTTGTTCATTTAACTTGGTTCATCAAAAATAGGTATTTTTTTTTTTTTCTTTTTTTTTTTGAAGTTTTCTGTTGCTTTTTGCAGTGAAAGTTTCCTCTAAAATAAATATCAATGGTGGCAGTTTCTCCTTGTGGTTTTATTTGCCTTTATTAATTTTATTTCTTCAGCTCTTTTCCTGTTTTCAAAACTTAGATGGGGGAAAACCAAATAAAAGAGAATCAATTTTACAGTCCACTCAGTTCACCAGCATCAGCCTTTCAGACTCTCATAAAATTTCATAATTTTCGCCATTGAATCCGAATTCTTACTTTTTATAACATTTTAAATAATGAAAAAAACCTTTATTAACTCTATCATTGTAATTTAACAGTATATTTTGAATTTAACCACCAAGGCAAAAGTATAAGATGCTTTATTAAGGATGTCAACATGAAAAAATACCTCTGTAATGTCTCACACCTCTCAATGTCTCTGTAATGTTTTCCACCCTCTAAGTTCTGAAAACGTTAGATCATGCTCATACCACACAAAAGAGAGCAGTGTTTTGGGGTGTTTTTAGTTGCTTCTAATGTTGTTGCTGTGAATCCTGTTTCTCTTTCTTTCTTTTTTTTCATTATCATCATCATTATTTTTGTCTGTACTAATAATGTTTGCATGGAAAATGGACTGTAATTTCTTTTGCCAAGAGCTTTTTAACTGCTTTTTCTAAGTAAGATTGATTGGTACTTAGACTTGGATGTGCGGGGGGTCATTGGAAATCCACCCATGCTCTCATGTCGGTCATGTGTTCCGCAAAGCAACCCCTTACTCATTTCCTGGTGGAACGGCTAGGATTGTCAACCATAACAATGCCCGTTTGGCTCATGTATGGTTAGATGAATGGAAAGAATTCTACTTTGCCATCAGCCCAGGTACGCCCTGTTCTTCTGGCAATTTTGTCCCCTTGCTAAAGCAAAAAGTAATTTTTTGCAGCTTTGGGGGGGGGGGGGAATACAGTTTCAACATAACCTGTATTGTGAATACAAGAATTTACAGAAATTATGGAGATCCATTAAGTCATGCATACACAGCCTCCAAAATTATCTGTAATATCCCTGCCCTTTAGTTTTGCCCTATTCATATGCTTTTGTGCCAGTTTGTAGTCATTAAAATTTGGATATCCGGCAAAGCTTTCAATTATCTCATATTAGTATTTTTTATGACAGATACTGACCCAACAGGGTAAGTTTGTAAACAGTTAGCAATACTATGAACTTTTATGGAAGGATTTTCATTAAGGCTGTGCGAGTACTCGAATTTCGAGTCGAGTCGAGCCGAGTATCGAGTACTCGACTCGGCTCGAAAGTTAGGTTAGGTTCGAGCGAGTACTCGAACTCGGCTCGAGTGTCAACAACACGAGTTTTTTCGAGTATTTCGAGTTTTTTTGAGCCGGAAACGCCGAAAGAGTCCAACTTCCAAACATTTCAATCATACTTCAACTAACGTTAGTTTTGCCATCATTTTACGATTGAATAACATCAGAGTCTCGTCGGCAAATTTCTACCATCCGCAGCGCCAACACGCTACCGCCCGGCGATTTCCTGCCGCGCGCGCGGTTTGTAACTACACGGAGTCATATGAGCGCATTTATGCGCGCGACAAATTTCAACCTGCGGCGGCGACCGCCGCTTGGAAAACTAAAAGTGAGCACGTGTTTTGGACCTTTTGCGCTCCAGAAAAACGGTGTCGCGGCGGCAGAAAAAAGGTGCTGCGGCTACAAAAATAGGAATCGCGCGATTCCAAAAAACGTCGCGGCGACAACTGCCGCCGGCGACAACTGCCGCCGGCGACACGAATTGCGTGCATAAATGGGCTCTAAAGAGCTTTTACTTGTGCCGCCCGAAGTTCCTCTGATGTACGCCGCGCCACGCCGCTTCTTGCCAAGCTTTGTCCTCTTTTCAAATTAAACCGCGGGAAGTTATTTTAACGCGTTACTGCCGAACATTTTGTAATTTTAGTGTAAATCCTTCCTAGTGTGTCATCGTCAATAATTATTAATATCATATTATGAGTCTTGTTTGAAATTATTTGTTGTAGAAAATAGATTAAATAACGTTTTAAAACTCGAAATTACTCGAACTCGACTCGAGCTCGACTCGGCTCGAGGGTCATTTTCAAAGCTCGAAAAAGCTCGAACTCGGCTCGACTTAGTGAAAAAATACTCGAACTCGGCTCGAATCCAAAAAACCAGGCTCGCACAGCCCTAATTTTCATTATACCCCACCCATAAGTTTTACTTTTTCAAATTGGTGATGGGAAGTTTCCTCACCTCATTTATTATATATCTCTTTTGGTTTGTAGCTTCTACATAATTGTCTTTGCTGTGAAGGGTATAGATTTACATAGGTGTCATTTTATTAATTTATTTATTTATTTAGTGGGCCCAAATCTGTAGCTGAGCCCCTATTCATCAAGCTCATCTCGTAATTACTCAGTGAAGTGTCATTTTTGTTTTCAAGCTTACAGTCTACTTAATTTCTGGGCCTTTTATATTTTCATTTTATGTTGTGTTCTGGTTTTTTTCTTTCTTATGAAAGGTTATTAGTCGTCACTACTCAGTACTCACAAGAAGAAAAGGGATAAAAATCTGTCATCCATCGTTTCTTCTTTTCTTCCCCTCTAACAAAAATGTGGCTATAAAATACTCAACATTTATATTTTCCCCTTGAGCAGCTCGCAGTTTATTTTTAGGTTAGAGTTCATGGCATATAATTGCTGAACATAAACAATATCAGAAGAATCAAATCCTGAAGGAGGCTAGAAAAAAAACTACAAACCCCTCCCTCCCCCCTCCATCTCTTTAATATTGCATGGGCTGCACTTTTTACTCTAATCTCTCAGAATACAGAAACCTAATTTAAAGAAATTAAAGTTTAGGACCAACATTTTGCCTTTGAAGTAGGAATGATCACTTATGATTGAAAAAACTACTCAAAATATCCTAAAGAAGCCAGTATCAGTTTTAAAACATCAGCAATTTAAACCCCGATCATCTTTTTGATCATCCGATAATTTTAATGAGGTGAACAGCAATACATCTCATTGAATATTTGATTTTATACTTTGAATTTTGAAGGCTTTAGTCATTTTTAAGACTCTATTTGAAATCTATGACATAGAGATCACTTCTTGACTTGAAATTAAATTAGCTTTAACCGAAGAGTAACTTTAAACTTCCTTCTTTAAGCTTCTTTCAAAATGTATAAAAGAGTCTTTGAGTCAAAGTATATGTGATTTCAGAGAGCATCATTATATGAAATAATCCCTGCAATGTAAGATCATATACTTCTTTTTATCAGATATTGTGCATAATAAAACACATTTGTGAATACCTACAAAAAAGGTTTAATTTTTTTAAGAATTTTTGAAACAGTAAAGGAAATATTCAATTTTATATTTTAAGCAAATTTTTAAAATTTAGCACCCAGACAATCATATTTTTATACATTTTAACTGATGGAAACTATCCTACATGACTAGGAATCAAAAATCAACATTGCCGTGCTGTATTTTCAAAAATTCTCTGTGATTTCTTTTTCTATTAGATGTTTATTTCTTATTATTTTTCTTTGTTTCTGATCATTCATTTATATCAGGTGCAGGGAATGTTGATGTTGGCGACTTAACTGAGAGGAAAGAACTGCGGAAACGTTTGCAGTGCAAATCATTCCGATGGTACCTAGAGAACATTTATCCTGAATCTCAGATGCCTTTAGATTATTATTATCTTGGAGAGGTAAGTCAAAATTTTCTAAGCTTAATTTATTTGTTCATTTTACAATTCCTGGTCAGATTAGTTTGAGTCTATCCAACAATTTTTTGAACAATATCTTATGATCTTGTCGTTAAATTGCAGTATTTAAAAGATTTCCATTCTTATAATCGTATACACACTAAAAGCCATCTTTATAGTTGGAGTGTGCCATTAATGTTCCAAAAAAAATTTACTATCTTAAATATGTTCGTCAAATTATCGCATCATTCTTTATCCTAAAAATTTCAGCGATCTACATTATTAAAGAAAATACTGTTATGGAAGATAGCAACTGTAATATTTCTGTCGTTTTAACGCTTTGCAGCATGACAACAATAACTGACTATTAATAAGTAAATCACTCTTTAGAGCCCTCAAATCCCATTTCAAACCCATTGGCAAAACTCAAGTGACAATATTGCATGATACTAGAGACTAACTATTTTGTCAAGTTTGATCAATAAAACCAATGCTCAATTATTCTGCCTCTCCGACCTCTCTGAATTATTTTATTTTCAACCAGAATTAAGAGCTTTATAAGTTCCTATTTCTATGACTATGAATCGGAAATAAAAGTTTAATTGTACGTTTTGAATTTTAGATTAAAAATGCAGAAACAGAGAACTGCTTGGATACCCTTGGGCACAAAAGTGGAGAAAAACTTGGCATGAACTACTGTCATGGACTTGGCGGAAACCAGGTAAGTTTTATTTTGTCCTGTTCATATTGCCCAATCTATTGCTGTATGTTGAGGGGCAATGACCATGCAAAATTTAGTGATAATTGAAAAGTCCTAAAATTAATTCATCCAATGTATGCAACTCAATGAATTCCCATAATTTCAGGAAATTCATATTCGATTTATCAAATTGTACTTTATGTTTACACTGCAGGGGCCAAAAATGGTGCTAAATTAGTGTGAGCCTTTACTTTTGGCACTAAATAAAACTGTAAAAGTAATTTCTTTTTGTAAACAAAGTGTATATCCAATTTTAATAGACTCATTTTCTCTATTTTTCTTTCTTTTTCATGCAAACAAGTTTTACACAGTTTCTTATCCTACTTATATGTAGAAAGGTGGATTTATTCAGAGGTTTAGAAATACCAAGAGAAAAGAATGGACTTCAGCCAGTAGGCAGGGAAAATCTATGCCTCTCTTTGACAGTTGAGTTAAAACAGCACCTGTGGACATTTTTTATGCTTATTTAAACGAGACAGTTGGCTTGGTAGCAAATCATGTGAAAATCGATCTCAGGAAACACATTATTTTTTAATAGTTTTACTTCTGTAATACTGTGTCACTATAATTTTCTTGCCACCGGATGCACCCGATGTTTCTTTCGATTTCTTAAAGTTTTAAAATTTTTTTGCTGCAGATTTAGCTAAATACCTGTCAAAAAAATTCCGCAAAGATTTCACTCGATGTTTCTTCAGGAATATACCTCTCAGTTCCAAACCCAGGTGTGCTTGTTTTTATTGCAACAATCTATGTTTCATTAAAAATGCACTTAGTCCAATTTTAGTTTCAAATAGATTGAATTTAATTCAATCTCGCAAAAATTATTAACTTTTGTTTTGAAATTGTTGCAATGAACCTCACTGAATATAAAATCAAACCCCAAAAGATTGTTGATTATATTAACATAAAGTTGTGTTTGGACTAAAACAATAGTTGCATGTATGTTTCTATGTTTTGTCTGTCAATGAAAAATTAATTTGGATCATGCTTTCAGGTCTTTGCCTACACAAAACGCGCTCAAATTATGTCTGATGATAACTGCCTTGATGCAGCTCGTAATGATGGCCCTGTCATGCTCATACGCTGCCACGGAATGAAGGGTAATCAAGAGTGGCATTATGACACAGAGGTAATTTTCATTTCTCAAATTTTTTTGTTTTACTGTGGCCATTTAGGATCAAAGGGATCTTAGTGCTGATAAACTAAAATTTGAGATAATTTGTACAGCTGTATCGAGGCGTATTTTAAATTCATTTTTATGGAAAATTTTGGACTGAAGGTTACAATTCAATACATGTAAGTTTTAAAAAGAGCCGTGATCGACAATTTTATAAGCCATATTTCAGACACAAAATTATTCGATTATGATACACCTCTCTGCTTTTCATTAGCACAAAATAACTTAACTGAATGACAAAAATCCAAGGCTCTCTAAAAGAAATAAGAAGAAGACTTAATAGCAGCATTTGCTCTGCTAGGATTTCTTTTTGATAGAAATAGCTGCAAAGGTACCCCGCTGCTTGTTTTCCTGTGTTTTAATATGGAATCGTTTTCTTACCACCGCGCTTCATTAGCCAAATACATGAACTCGCCAGGTGCAAACATTACCCTGACTGCACTGAGAGTTGCAGCTTGGCGCCAGTCCGGTTCAATGTTTTGGCATATTTTTCTTCTAAAAGAAAACAATTCTGCTTTTCTTTGAACGGACATTGCAACAGCGTCTCCAATAATCAGAAAAAATGTATCACAGCAGTCTCCTTCTAACGGAGGTCCAACACACACATATTCCAACCTACAAGTATCAACTATCGTAACCTAATTTTGCTCACTGCGCAATTACCCTCTTCCTCATGAAGTGAGTGATAGGCAGAATTTTTCATTGCATTTATTTTCTTTTTGTTTCAAGACTCAAGAAATAACTCACGAAGCCACAAAGCAATGCCTGCAGAAGCCATCGCCAAGTGATACATCAATCCCATTGTTAAGGAATTGTGATGGGTCACTCGGACAAAAATGGACAATGCAGAGGAATTTTCGGTGGCAAGCAAGTACATCACAGAGCAATTTCCAGTGGCAAGCTAGTTAATACATTCCACTTAAACTGTAGTTAATCGGGCTGTGAATCCTCTCTTCTACTTTTAATGTTCAATTTTCTATTTAAATACCATGTTTTTGCCATTATCCTGCAATTAGGTACTCAGTAATACTCCTGAAATATTGTTATATTTTTTTTTTTTTTAATTTTTTTTTCTATAGGTTTTTTTTTTTTTTTTTTTCGTAATTTAATTAGCGCTCAAATATTTTGCAAGGATAAGTCGCAACATATTTTGAATATTTCGTGCATTTTGTTGATTTTTGTTACTCTTAAATATCATGGATGTACTAATTCCTGAATGGTTGAACAGAGCTTCAAGTGCCTTTAATTTTTATTTAGTTTTAATTTGTATTTGTCGGGTAAATTTACTCTTGACTTACTGAAGACTTGCTATGTATTCAGTTAGAACCTATGTAAATTTCAGTAAGAACAAATGTACTCATAGAAAATATAACAGAGCTTCATAATTCGTACGCAAAATTGAAGATGAAGATGAAGATGTGTTAAAATATAGCCTTAAAAGAAAAATGTAAGTTACACCTCAAGGAAGATCTTAATTTGCTAACTAGGGAGTGTTTTGAAAGCTTTAACCACAGGGCAAACTTCTGCTGAAATGTTTCAACAGATGTCAAGAATATCCTCATCACTTGGTTTCACCACACAAGCCTTAGCTGTGCTGAAAATTTGTATTAAACTGATTCAACCAAGTTCGCTAAACTAACTCAACTGAAACTGCAAAAATTTGCCTTTGTGGCCAAAACCTTCGTATTTCCACCTGATTTCTCATTGAACTCAAAACTTTTTTTCATCATGTATTATTTGTGTTGACAAGAAGAAATTAATAGTATCTCTACAAATAGTAATTAATGAAACATTTAATTCTTGTTCAGAAATCTTCATGAAAAAGAATGTTTGCAATTTTCTATTATCATATCGTAGAGGCTGCAAATCTTATTTGATAAGTGTCTCAATTTTTATTTGCTTTTTAAATCAAATTTGATGAATTGCAATCAAGTAAACAGCAAATTCAATACTTAGTCCATACATTGGTCTAAAAGAAGAAAGATTAGCAAAGCTGAGATTTCTTCAAGTGTATGAAGTGCAATGTTGATCCTTGCATTTATATCTCTCCCATTAGGGTTTTACAGAATTTGAAACTTTGCCTACCTTTGTACAAGTGATTATTTTTCTCTTGTTTAATTTTTTAAATTTTTTTTTTATTTTTTATTTTATTTTTTATCATATTTTTTTTTTTTTTTTTTTTTTTTTTTTTTTTATAGATAGCACATACTTTTGTCATTACCGCAAGTTGAGTTATGATTCAAACAATCAGACCATCTTTTATGTTTCTGTATTTTCTTATTTTGCCATCGAATCTTCCTCTCTTTCAAAGCAGGTGGAAGGGGGAAAAATCTTAACATTTGATGACAATATTCGTGTGTATCAGTTATTTAATTTTAGTTGATATTTCATGTACTTAATTTTTTATTGCTTTTTACATACTTAATAGCATTGAATCAGGAGAAAAAATGTTGAACAAATTCTACTCGGGACATTTTAGAGTTCAAATATTAAATGTGTGTAATGGATCAGTGGCAGAGGTCGCAATGTTGACTCGTTTGTTGAAATATTAAAGAGCTGAAAGCAAGTTGAAAATAAATGAGTAAATAAGTTGAAATAAATGGGTTTAAGTGGCAAATGCTGCCCAATGGCATTTCAAAGTGGTCTATTTTTTCAACTGCAAAGCAAATTTTCTCTGTAATCCAACCGGAAAAAATTGTGAAAAATACTCTAAACTCAGCTCATTTACTACTTTAGTGTAAAGTAAAGTAATAAAACTTTCTTCTGCCACTGACCCATATGATCTTAACCTCATTCCATTGCTTACTGGTCAGTGAAAGTGTTTTTTCAGGTTATACAAGAGCATTTATTCTTACAGTTATTTTTTTGCAATTTGTTTTGCTACTACTAGTTTTCTCACTTATTCCAAAATTTTAAAAGTGATGTATTCCTTCCTTTATTTTCTTTCTTCTAATCACACGTGGAATGTTGAAAATTTTAGGTCAAATTCTCTTAGAAGTCCACTATAAATCCTAAATCATCTACTTATCAGTCTTTTTAACCTTAAAAACTATCACTAAAAAGTGAAGATCAACTGATTGTAACTGTGCGTGAGTCCCTCACACTAAAATGTATGTACTTTTAGTCTTTGATCGGTTATGATGATTTTTAACCTGATTTCTCTTAATTTGTCTTTTATTTTATTTTTAAAGCTCACTCATTTACTTGCTTGACAATACAAAAAATTTTCTCAGTTCATTGTTCTGATTTCAAGAGAGTTCATGTGTTTTTAAACCTACAAAGACCGTCGTAACATACATCACCACTCTTTCATTCCTATTGTTTGCAGAAAAATGCATTCAAATTGTCATTGGAAAGACCTCGTAAATTTAACCAGATTCTTTTTTTTTACACAAATTCTCATAAATTTAAGAAAATTCTTAATTTTCTCAAGATTCTCCAACAAAATCTTTCAAAGTTCTTATATCAAATTAATCCTCTAATTTCACCTTTGATTTCAAACCAAAATACTTATTCTATCATAAAATTAGATATCTTGATTGATTATACATTCGTTTAAGAAATACAAGCACACCATTGTAGACAAATTTGTAAGTGTTCCCTTTGATTTTGAAATTTTAGAAATTTCTTATCAGGCTGTACCTCCTCGAACTGAATCTAATTTAATTTTTTAGGCTTTTCCCTTCTTTGTAATCCTTAAGTTTCTCTATTTGTACATTCTATGATTTGTATAGTTTGATTTATTCTTAGGATTATTTCTGTTGCCATGTCGCCTGTTGCTCTTCTCATATCAGTGAGTCTTATATTGAGTTCACCTTCAAATCTTCAGTATAAGTTGCAGTACTTTTTAATTATGTTGCTTTCGATTTGGATTATAAATTATGTCAGCGTAAACTTCTCTCTGGAAAATAATCAAAATTACTGTAGGACTTTGAGAATAAGAGCTAATATAGGTTAGATAATTCGTAATGATTTATCCATGTTTTTCTCCTTGTTTGAAGGAAAGTCATCGATTGTCGGGAGAAAATTCCAGTTTGATTAGGCTCCAATTAGGACCACTCGAAGTATGCAGCATTTTTAAAGGCTCAAGAACAGCAAGGTCTGTGACTACTGCTCTAAGAGCAATTGTCACATAATTAGTGCCTAAACGCATCATTAACTTGTCACAGGCATGAATTAATAATCTGTTTAAAAAGAAGTGTACTGCAAGGTTTTTTAAGTTTAACATTCCAAGCTCAGAGTAAAGGAAAATGCTAATCTGAAAGGAGCCATACGCCAAGGTCTATGGTGAGAGAGGCTCTACGCAAGATTTCGTATTTTCTTTCAATCCTTGATGCTCCTGCTTTGAGTGCCCATGAATTCATCTCGAGGAATGGCGGCAGAGATTCATGATCTGTTATGTGTTACTGTAAAGATCTGACTAACAATGTTTTTATTTTACCACTAGTGATTGAAGCCAGTGAGATCACAAGTGTTCTTAAGGGAACTAACATGACCGAACTTTAGGCTGGATTTAATTTTGGTCATTCTACTCAAAAGCAACCCAGTATTGATTCCTACCTACATATCCTTAAAATTAATATCTGTCGGTTATTGATCTCTCAAGTCTGCATGTCTGTATGTTTTTTAATGGATGGTTCTCAGTTTTTTTCCCTAATAGACTTACTTGTACCCTCTTAAAGGAGGTTTTAAAACTAAAGATAGTCTTAGGTTTATAAGAGATAAAATATTTTCAATGCTCACAAGCGCAGACAATACAGGAGTAGGTGAAAGTTTCTTGGCTCTCTATTTAAATGCAATTCCTTTGTGGTTTTTTATCCCTCCTTTGTATGTTTTTTCCACCCTTAAAACTGGTGGTCTTACAGAAAGGTATTAAATCCTCTCAATCAATTTTAATTTGTATTCACCATAAATCACTTTCAGTATGAGTTTTAGAGCTTCTCAGCTCATATTTGGATAATTGGAGTCATAGCAGAACCCACACCCGCTATGTTAGGTAATTATATACACTTAATATGAATTTTAGTTAAATTTTCAGAAAATTTATCCAAGAATGTAACAATTCTGTGTTTTTAATTTATTAAATGGTTGTGTGTAAATGCGATCCGTGCTGGAACAAAAATTTGAAACTTTGAAAAAGTAGATTCCCTCAAAAACAGTGATGTGTTTAACAATGAACATCAACCCGTCCTTCTCTGTTGATTTTATACTGTGCAATGTTTTAGGTACTGCAGTTTTGTTTTTAATTTCAAATGATTCTACTTTATTATTTCTGTTATCATCATTCTAAGTTACGTTATGAAGATAGTTTATTGTAATTTCTTATGTTTATATTTTTAGGCTAACATTATTTTTTATAAATGGAAATAAAAAGAAACAAAATTATGAATTACAACAGCCTTAAATTTTTACATCGGCATAATATACCTTTTCATTCTCTCCTAGAGTCCTGTTAAAGTCATCATAGTTCTGACGAGAAATATTAAATTGATTAGATCCTGAGGGGCGGAACAACTTTAGTGAGGAATGCACTTCACTCAAGAGATTTTAGTGTATTTTTGGTGCGTACACATACGATACATGACCTTCGTTATTGCCCTTTCTTCTTGATTCACTGTATCAAGTCCTGCATGTTGTAAAGGGAAATGAAGAGGCCAACCAGCTGCAAGTTTCGTCATGCTTGTCAAAATAAGATTGATGTCTTAATCTATAAGGCATTGTCAACAAGCACAGAGTTTCTGAAGCTTTGACGGAATAAGTCATAGCTGAGTCAGAACTTATTTCGTCTGCGCATAATAAAGGGGTGGAAAACGATGAGACTCAGATAAAATCAAAAACTTTATTCTTCCATTTTTGTATACAAGATTTTACATACAGACAAAACTAAGAGAAAGTGGGAAAAGGAATATTCTCTCAGATACTCATTTTTCATTAAATTAGTGGAACACAAGCAGGAAGTTGAAAGTGCAAACTACGATCTTTCAATACCCCTCATTTTACTTATAGACTTAGATGAACTGACAAAATTATACAGTTCTACACTTGAAAGTGACTACAGTGTGGAAAACTTTGAAAAACTAGAAAGTGCTTAATCTGATTTACAAAAAAGTTCAATAATTTAAAAGATTCAGATCATGCAGTGCAGAGCCACTACATCTATTGAGCCAGAAATTAACTGGCATAAACGGACACTTTCCTCTTGAAAACATTTAATCTAGGATCATTTCTCGCTTTCTCTCACTTCCTTGCTCTTTCTCTTTTAAAAAATTATAAAACCGGTGGAAACAAAAAACCTTAATAATAGTAGGTTCATTTTCAAATAAAAACTCAAAGTGGCCAACAACAGAATAAAATCATGAAAGAAATATTATTCTAAGATTGGAGGGAACGATTAAAACACAAAATTTTGAAATTACTCATTCCAAGTAGTAGAATTTTAACATAACAAAGGGTAAAAATTAAAGTTAGAATGGTTATAACTTAAAAACATCTTGAAGATATAAACTGGCTTCATAAAAGGGCCTCGTGATGCTTCTGTGGTTCTAACATATCACTGAGTTTAGCATAGATGGCTAATTCAATTGAGCTGCAATCAGGAATTATCATTACGCAAAATATGTACATCAAACTAATTGTATGATGAACTCAGATGATTTTTTTCATGCGTAAATACAGCATTTTAAAACGCCTCCAAAAGGAATGAACGACGATCATTGTCAAACAAGAGCGCATTTTACTGGAATAGGAATACATAGGTGCATGCAACACAGAGGAGATGAGAAAAAACTGAGATTGTTTCACCTATAACTCACAATCGTTGCTTCACATCTTTAATTTATCACCAACTGTTCTCTGTCTGATCCACAAACTATTTTAGTTGGGGGAACTTTACCAGTGAGCTGAAGTTAAAAAAGCATCTAAAATGGTAAAAACCTGCCTTCTCGAACTCACATTTGATTATTCCTAGGATTACTGTACAAACATTTGTGGGTAAAATAAAAGTTACACATACAAATTTTTCCTTGAAGGTTTTATCTGATAGACTGTGTAATAAGAAAGAAAGTTCTCTCTTCTTTTAGTGCTTTCCTTGACGCAAGAAAATTTATGGATTTTCCAAAGTTTTCAGACCAACGAACACAGTGGTATGGGTACTTTTCTTCATCAAATACAATACAAACTTCAGATTTGCTTCAAGTCATCAAAACATGAAGAATTCGTCATAAAAAGAAAATGTAATCAAAATTTCAAGTGATGCAGATTAAAAGCATACTAAATTCAGGAATGTAGCTCAAAATTGTGCAACTTCCTAATGAAGAAGGTTAAATAATTTTTCTTGAATGACAACAAAATTATTGGTGAAAAAAAGGAGAAAAAACCAATGTACAAAATAGGTACCAGTATACTGAGCAGTATAAGTGGCAAAAGAGAGGAACAACCAATGTACAAATAATGTCTGTTTCTGACTGATAGCATTTTTACTCTTTGTTGATTCAACAAGGAGACACATCTTTAGAAGCGTCAGAAAAAGTACAACTCATGTCAGATAAGTTGGTAGTCAAATACTTTTGAATGTCATGCGCAATAAACTAATGTACATCTCTGTGCATTGCAGTGTTGCCAGCAGTTAATCCCTGATGACTATTTGACGACCGCAGCGTAGTCGCTTGCATAAGGAAAGTAAAGAATGGCCAACTTATTTGACATGAGTTCTAGTCAACAGAGTTGATCGTAGGTGGAAATATTACTTAAAAAAAAAAAAAAAAAAAAAAAAAAAAAAAAAAAAAAAGTTTGTTAAAGGAGAAAGAAATGAAAAGTGAATGAGGCTGTTGCATGATCCAGAAATTGTCATGAGTTTAGGAAAGACAATTTTAGCAAAAACTAGTTTTCTAGCTTGAAAACAACTTGTTTGACTGAGAAAAAAGAGACTAAAAGTTTCAAAAACATTTCCCATTAGGCCGAGGCTTAAGCATATGAAGGAACAACTCATGGTTTTAACTACTGCCAATCCAATGTAACATGGCCACAATACAATGCACATCAAGAACCAACAACATAATTTAAGAATATGACAAAAAAAATTATAAAAGCAGCAATGATATTGCGAGCATGGTCCGGATACATAACCTCTTGATACATTTGCAAAGTAAATAAACAAATGCAGGTAAAAGGATACGCAGAGGTCAATTCTTGTTCTAATTTTCTAAAAACTGTTGGTGTTATACTTTTCCATTAGAAATGAAATCAGATTTGTGGGTATGAAAGTCACTTTCTCGGCTATGTAAATTGGGGGGGAAAAAAAAAAAAACCCAGAAAAATATAGGTGTTGTTTTTTTTCACTCACTGTCCAAAAATGAATTACAAAGAAAATATGCGACAACCCTATTTCGTAGAAAGTTGTGATATCAGCCGGCTGGTGGAGCATTTTAAATCACTTTAAATTGCCTTGTAAATACGAGGCAATTTCAAATGGTCTACCAAATAAATGGAAGAACGGTTTTCCCATAGTCTGATTATGAACACTCAACCTTGCCCGGATCTACATTGTCTGGTTTCACTGTTAAGACCTAGGTTACCCCAGCCTGAACTAATTTCAAGAAAATACATTTGAATGATTTGCAATCTCAGCTGGCATGCTAGAATGGCAATATACCAAGTCACTAGCAGACCAATTGAAAGAGTATGAATTGACAGTTTCCAAGAATTTATTTCAGACCAAACAGATAAAAAAATCATTCTGGCATAAAAATTTAAGAAGGATTTAAACGTTTGACTTCATCCTTCCATTCATACCTAGCCCACTGATTCATTCAGTACTTAACAGACAAACTGAGTTTTGGCTCCATGAGCGAAAAGAAATAATTGTGAAACAAGATAAATCACAGAGAACTGCATGTCCTATACCTAAAGCTGAAGATGGCAAAACTTGAAAAACAGTCAGTACTTGATTGTGCTTGTCAGTAACTTGATTGACAGTGAAAAAAAATGTCCACCACTTTAGACAGTTAAACGTCAAGCATTGATAATCTGGATAACTTTTCCTTGGAACCGAAAGAATTTACAACAGTCAGTAAATTTAGACAAAAAAATATACATATGATGATAAAAAAAAAACGGAGTTGCAAATTTGAAAGGGAGAAAAATGTTTGGTACTTTTGGAAACTTTGAGGATGATGAAAAACCCACTTACCCAGAATAAAGTATAACCAATCAAGATTGTTTACATACTAATACTTGTCTGTACAATTTGTCCATTGCAAAAATTGCAGAAAATTTCCCTGTCCGTTAATACATGTTTTTCTACCAATTACATTGGTGGTGCCGGGTGCAATGAGGAGTTCCATCTTCAGTAATCTTCATACTTGGAAACATATTCGTCCTCGCTGAGATCAAATCCAGTGACCTTTGGTTTAGAATTATTTTGCTTGAATTTCTTTGCATTTGCTCCGTGATTATCTGTTTGAACATGCGATGCAAATTTTTTACGAGTCTGACCATGATAATTACAGTAATGGCAGTAGAACTTACCTGAAAAGTAAACCAACATTTAACTTCAAAGGCTGTCAGGATAAAATAGAACTGATCTTAAAACTAAGTCAGAAATTATTTCTTTATGGATTCCAAGGATAACCAGGATCTTAAGAAACACACTGTTGGCTATCTATTAACTCCTGATAAATCACTTAAGACAGAGACTAGCAAGAAGGAACTACTATGTTTTATTTCATCTTTTTAATAATCTTGAAGTTTATTAGAAAAAGGAGCACAAGACTTTTTTTTTAATCCATTTGCATCTATTATCCTCTATTACCCCTTGTGACAAAATGTATTTGATTTATCTCTAATTGGGAGGAAAATATAATATGGCAGTAAAATTTTCGGGTGCAAGAATTTATAATATTTACTCAGACTCAACAAGACGTGTACATTTTGAAAAGGGAGATTCATTGAAAAATGATTGTGTGCTATAATATTATGAACTATGATGAACTACCTATTATGAAAAATTACACTTATATCACACAACATTAACTGTAACTTTTGGATTATTGGGAGAGCAAACAGTTAAATTTATATATTTGACTGAAAAAGTACCTGAAGGTGTACGAAACATGGCAAAAGCTTCCGAATCATCAACAAAAAATTTTGGAACTGCAATTAGAAACCAGGAAGTATTACACTTTTAGAATGCATATAAAATGTCTTCTTTGACGAGCAACTTGTCGACAAAAACAAAACCAATAGACATGCCTTTGAAGTTAAATGGGTATTAAGAATGGTATCAATGTCGCAGGCAAATAGACAGATCAGGCATTTTGTTAAATGCCTAGGCAAATAGTTAAATATTTGTATTTAGACTGAAATTCTGATTATTTTGCTAACTGTAGACGAAATAATTATCTGATCATGTGGAAAAGACTTCCCTGTAAAAACTTGTTCCATACGATCATAAATACGTTTTTTCTGGTCCTTAAATGCGAATTTATCTCAGAATATGCAGCATTTCATAAAATAAAAAGTTTTCACAATTTGGACAGATGAAGAATTAGGAGAAGCAGTTTTGAACGGAAAATAAGATGACAGTTTGTACTTGAGCGGGTTTTTTGTCTCAAAAAATTGAAAATTAGAGAGGTCTTTGTAAAAACGTGAAAAACCTCGTAAACTCTAAAAATTTAACTATCTGCCCAGGCATTTGATAAAATGCCTGATTTGACCATTTGCCTGCGACATCAACACAGCGAGCAGACAAAAAATAGATTCCATATTATGGCAGCTTGGGAAAAAAGCTTTTAAAAAAAGAAATTGTAGATATTTGAGTAGTAGCACTAAATTTGTAAGATTTTTTGGTATAGTAGCCAATGCTGCAAGATGAAGAGTCCAAATCAAAATAGATTTGGCAAAAATAAATTAATTGAAACTTATGCAGACATTTCTAGTCAAAATAGGGAATCACCTCGATTTTTTTTATTTTTTAAATCAGCTACTAATCTGAGATAAATATTACATGAAAAAGACTGATACCACTGCTGTTATTTCTACTAGTTCCGTGTTAACTTAAAGCATTTATCCCTTACAATGGTGCCTATTCAAGAGGCTCGGGACCCATTTTTCATACATATAAATAAATGTAAGTTTTTCTAAAATTTTGCATTTTTTCCATATCCTAGCACAATCTACTATACCAACAAATCTTAAGCTTTCTAAAATTGAAGATGTCAGCCTTCATGATTGGCTCAGGAGAGTTCCTTGCTCTTGAGACTTTGGAGATAAGCAGGGCAACATTTAGCCGATAGGGACCCATTTCCCTGGAAGAGTGATAGCAAGCTCATTTTAGATAGCGCAGGCAGAACTCGACATTTATTCTTGTAAAGAACAGTTTTAGGTCCATCACTTTAATTTAAATTATTAATTAGTGTTGGTTTTTTTTTTTTTTTAAATCAAACCTTCACTGCATCTATGTTTTCTTCGACCATACACATCTTACTGACAATTTTTAATTCTAAACCTTAAAAATCAAAATATTAATTTGTGATTGAAAGGGAGCAACTTGAGACTCAGTTGAGCAAAATACAAATCGTTTGACAAATATTTGCGGAACTTACTTGGGGTGACAGCACATGGATCAACTTTCCTCAAGTTTTTATTATGTCTGGCACCTTCTATGTGGGTCTTGTACTGGTCACTAGAACTACACTGCACATTACATAATTCACAGAAGAATCTGTTGACAGGAAACAAAATGAATATTAATTTTAGAGCAATAGGTTAAAGCCTGAAGATGTTCAGTGATCAATTGATTGAAAATAGTGCCTTCACGTTTTTCAGAGAATCATTACAGCTATGGAATTTTGCCAAAAATTATGGACAAAGGCCAAAATTTGTCAAATAGATGAAAGAAAAAAATGGACACTTTCATTAGCTTATTCAAGTTGAGTTAATCACAAAAAAATTTTCATTCAACAATGATCATAAAAATAGCAAGTTCATTTTTGTACTTACGGTTTGGAGATACTTGGTACAGAATCAATGGGTTTAGTTTCAGATGCTGATGAAAATCCTGTGCCAATGCCAAACCTTCCATCAGCTCTGTGAAAAAAAATAAATAGATAAATACAATACGTAAGATTTTCCTTGTTACAAAAAGATGACGAGATGAGAACACATTAAAGAAAAAATCACTTTCCCTGAACCTAAGCATAATCAAACTAAAGAAATCCGGAAGTAAGCAAAAGTCCTGTTATGTAATTAGAAACATTTTCGGACAAATTGCACTGATAACTTCGCTTTTACTTCTCTTACGGATAATTCTTATATTTTTCCAGGTTTTAGGTTTACTGCTATACATAGGCTATAAAGATGACAAAACCAAACTTACAAAAGCACTAAAGAAATATACCTTTCCAATTTCTCACTCCCTTTTGATTTATTTCATCTACTTTCACTAAGAGGAAATCCCTTAAAGATGAATGGTTCAGGGCTGTCACTATAATAAACGGATGATAAAAAATTAAAAGATAGAAACTTACAAGATACCACTTCTTGCTGCATTCACCATCGCTTTTTTATGTTTCTTCCCTTCATAATGTTGATTGGCATGAACAGAACTATTGAAGATTACCTTGCATACTTTACACTCTCTGTTTTCTTCATTTTTCAGGTCCTGTTAAAAAAAAACAAGAAACTTATCAGTCATTTGAAGAGAAACTAAAAAAATAATAAAATAAGAATGTGAAAATACAGAGCAAATTGAATGCTGAGCTGACAATATCTTCGAATGGATCTTTCTCACATAAAAGATAGGGCCAACTGAGTAGACTTTTTATAAGTAAAATGGACATCTAGACAGGGTAGTAATTGAGCTTTTTTGAGAAATGTTTTCTCATTAAAATCTCTTGCAGAACAAGTTGGACCCAGCAAAAATGTTTAAAACTCACTCATGAGGGAAAAATTAACATTCATGGTTTACATTAGAATCAGAGGATTAAAACTTTCTGCTTGCAAAAAAACCAAAATTAACGCAAGTCAAATCGGGGAAGGGATGAGGGGTGGGAGGGGGGATAATTTTGGAATTTTGTGGGCATGGGGGCGGCCCTAGAACAAATTTTGCACCGGGGCGGGGGGGGGGGGGGCAGCGGAAGCCCGTTACGCCACTGGTGACACAGACACCTAATGAGATGATACATGATTTCCTAGCAAATTGAAGACAACATTAAGATTATAAAAATATCTATGTTTCGAATCATGAAAATTTTGGTGAGAAAAAATATTAGCTTGTCTTTGCACAGTAAAAAAAACTTTAGGAGAGAAATACAGACGTTGTTGCGTTGCGTTGTTGTCTGGCGTGCAGAAATTTCCGTGCATTCGTTAAATAGAATTCGATTTACATGGTAAAGATTGTACCTGGACCGAGGATTTCCTTCAGGAAACCGAATTTTGTTAAACAGATATTCGTTAAATAGAATTTAATTTACATTGAAAAGATAGGGATTTTTTCTGGGCCACGAAAAAAATTTGTTAATTAGAGGAATTTGTTAAATCGACGTTCGTCATTTTGAAGTTTTAGTAAAGAAGCATAGCGTTTGTGTATTTTAGTATCATCTTCAACATCATACGTAGGAGCCTCTTCCACAGTGCTCTCTGTGGCTTTGCGATAAGGAACCACCCTGTTTCCCTATACTCCCACAGCCTGTCAAGAAGCTGGCACTTCCTTGTGTTAGGAACTAAATGTAATCTCATAAAAATATACTCACATCTTCGGGCTTTGTTATCTTGGGTATTTTCACAGGAGGTTCATCATTCACCCCACATTCATTTTTCAGGAAGTTTTTCACTTTCTTCAAATGAGGCTTGCCGTTATAGTGCATTTTAGTTTGAATCATGGATAGCATCTACCAACAGAGAATAAATACAATTGGAAATGTAAATTTACACACACAGCAAGAAAGAACAACACTCATTTGTTCAGTTTATGCAAGGAGAACGCATTTGAAAAGTGCTTAAGAAAGTAAGAATTTACAAAGAGCAATAGTGAGGTACTAAATTAAATTATTGTGTTTATGTTTCAGGCTCTAATTCAGTACATGCTCAAACCTATAATTCATGGAACTCGACTTGCGGTTACAAGACATGCTGCCTTTTAGGAGCAAGAGAGGTCTTCTCAGAATCTTAGTCCATTTTTACTTAGTCCTTTTTTGATTACTACACATAGCCTCCTACAAATTTTTTACCTCATGTTATCAAACAAGGGTGATCTTATCCTGATCTGGTGACCATCAGACTTTAACAATAGGTCTGTTGCACTACTTATAAAAAAATGACCATTCAAGCTATCCCATGCAAGTAATAAAACCTGGGACCTAAGGTGCAGCCACCATACTGGAGGAATTTCCGATTTCAAATAATGTAGGTAGATGGCTTGAGGTATTGATCTACTTTGGAGGGTACTAACCTTCCCTGAAAAGATGTTTTGATGTTTTTACTGTAGCTGACCCTCCAAGACTTCACATGTAATGAAAAGATAGCTCAAAAGTACAACTATTCAAAAAATTCAACTTCAGTAGCTGAGGATTTTAAGAAAATTTCAAGCCTGAACTTGAGCTGACTTTAAATGCCTGAAATTTTTGAAAAAACAAAAAGAGAGGTCTGATGGAAGTAAAATGACTGTGGAATTCACTTACATTAACTTTACACAATTCGCACGTGCCCACGCTGAATTTTTCAGTGACTTTGGCTGGCAGCACAACAAAATTTGCTGTTTCTAGATTTAAAAAGAAAAAAAAGATTACTTGTAAAAAAGAAGAAAATACAAGAGGGTTAAAGGTAAAATATCATGAAGACAAAGAAGAATACACAAGATGTTTGGCAGTATAGGGTGAGGAAAGATCTAAAGGGCAAAATATTATTACACAAACTATTATCCAAGTGTGCATGAAATGATGGCAGTTGAGAATAATACTGTGCAAGATATCAAAACCAAGCAATTGATGGATGATGGAAGGTTGGTTGTTCAAACTAGTGTTGGGAAGGACAAAAAGTTGGTGATAGGAGGTAGGCGAGAACCGAAGGTTTGCCTGATAATGTCCTACTGTGGCCTGTCGGCCTCGTGGGCTGTAGTAATTACTACTGGCTCTATAAACAAGGAGTACCGGGTTTAATTCCAGGCCAGGTGATACAAATTTGATGGTCTCAGGCAAGGGCCATCTGGGATTGGGATATTAAACATCGGAGTAGCCCTATGGGATACTTGAAAATTGGTTTAAAAAAAGAAAGAAAGAAAGGAAGGAAGGAAGATCTATGAAATGATACATTCTATGGCGACCTGAAGTCGCAGACCAAAAACAGTCTGAAAAATTCCTCAGGGGATTCAAACGTAATGCAGAAAAATTGTTGAAAATCAGTAAATTATTGACCAAGCAAGCTGTGCAAAGTCGTATTAAGTAGATAGGTAATGATCTGACAATAAAACTCATAAAATAAGCGTTGTGCTAGCTTTCTAAGTCACTCATACAAAGAGTGTAGCGATACATTTGAAGAATTTTATGTAGGAATCCTTAGAAAAAAACCAGTACAGTGGACCTGACATTTTTCGAGAACATGACTCAGCAAGAAAAGAGCTTCTGATGCTTGAAATCAAACATATTAATTGACTTCTCGTGACTTTCACGAGAGAGCACTGTAATGGAAACTTGAAAATTTGCCTTTCAACGAGTCCACTCTCAAAATGTCAGTTTGACCACTGTATTATGAGATTTTTCCCATAAACCATCAACAGTGTTGTTGCCATGGCAATGAGACTCATCAACTACAGCCAAAACTGACATTTTTGATTTACGGGCATGAGGAGTCCTGAGAGGGAGACATGCCTCCTTCTGGAATCATATATTTCTAAAATGAAACATTGAAACACTTTGAACAATACCTGGTAAAACTGTTTCCAGTAGCTGTTGCATAGGGGTTAAATCTTTTAATGGCTCTAGCGGCGTGGTAGATGGTGCCCTCTTTATTTCTGCACATTTGAAATAATCTTGTGGGCCAGGTGGTGACTGTCCTTGATCATGTACAAAACCATGGTTATACACGGGAACTGGAGCACTTGCGACTTTTATCGCAGGGGTAGGCGAGGGAGGAGGAGCAGTATTTTGTGGAGCCGGTGTTTCAGGTACGCTCTGATTACCACTCGGAAAAGAACCATCATTCATTTCAGAAAATGATCTCTTCGGAATCCTGAAACCTGTGTTGCCATTGCTCACTCTCCCATTTTCTGAAAACAGAAGAAAATTTAAAAAAATTAAACAGGCCTTCGTCAATTATATTCCTTAAAACCTTGATTGAACGGAAGCACCCTAAACACAACAGGGCAAATAAACACTTGTCTTTTATTGTCATTGATCTCACTATGTATTTCCAGCAATCAAAAACTGTAAATGGCCGGCTATGTTGGCTAAAAACAAGCATTCAGCATGGTACCCTTTCACATGTACTTCTTTCCCAGACTTCAATGTTGCCGTTAGGAGGCCATTACTTAAGGGGCAGATGCACCTGCGAGCTAGTCGCGCGTCTTGAGCGGCGAGTTGGCCTTCGGCCGTATTCGGCAATCTTTGTGGCCAATCAGTAGGATCGGATCCTACTTTTCCGGTCAAGACGCGCGTGTAGCGCGCAGGTGTATCTGGTTCTTTACCGTCAATTTTTCCACCTTGGACCACAATTTTACTAGTTTACTAAGTTGCAATGTAGTAAATGTAGTATATTATGAAATTTTACTGCCTCACCACCGTTCATAATTTTGTTTCAAGTAATTTAAGCGAGCTAAGAGCAAAAACAAGGCTGCAATCAAGAAGACTCCTTAAGAACAAATTTTCTAAGATTCCCCTTGAACAGATTTACATCGTATTTATGCATTCAGATAGGTGCAAAGCAGCTCTTCCTATCTGATATGCTATCAAGTACAAGTTCGCTGCTATAATGTTTTTGATATGTCAGATGTGCACGGCATGTGAGTAATAACACCCTTACTTAACAAATTGTAGATATCTAAATAAATGCCTATCAATTTCCAATGATAGCAGTAATAATAAATCTGCAATGAATACTGTCAAAACTTCTTTTTCATTTTTATCACAGGGCTAGAGAAAATTACAAAATATGGACAGTTGGGAGACAGTTTGGACGCGGCAACACTGAGGAGTGATGAACATCAATTTAATTTCGCAGGTGGCATTGAAGTGGATTATTGTGATTATTTGGATTCAGTTCAGTATAAAAGAGAATAGCTGCGTTGTCGAAGTAAACTGTTTGGGACCGTTGGGCAATGGAATTACCCGATTCCGAACGCTCGGCGTTGTTCGACTCCGTTTGGATTGCCCGATGTCCTGGACTGTTTACCAAACGGAAGTCAGCAAGTCATCGGTCTCAGGTGGTATTTGAGAGCGTTGAGCTAACCTCTAAATGTAATAGTGAACACTCAAAACGAAACAGTTTTTAGTCAACAGAGACGTCCTACAATGCGTTTCCCAACGGGTAAATCGACGGTTATGTGATATCCGTTAGCGTTGAGCAGCCCAACACAAACAGAAAGTTTACTTCAACAACACACCTAAAATCTATGATGATATAACCTCTAATAGCAACTGTGATAGATGTTCTATCGATGGAATTCGGAACTAAAAGGTACAGTAGGCTACAGGGTTAAGCCAAGAAAGCCTAATTTTGGCTACTTCCAAAGTGTTGCATAAATTTAAAATTAAAAGTCAATTCCTGAGATGCAATTAGTTCAGGAATTGAACTCAAATTTACAAAAAAATGCCTTCTTTGATTCAGGTTGCAGATGGCGATAATGATCAATCATCAAATCCATCAACATAAGAGTCAGCCAAGCAGCTGATTGATACTTACAAGGCTACAAATTTTTATTTTTGGATCCGGAAAAAAGTATGGTGCCTAAACCAGGGAAACATACGATCATGATTCGATGAAACCGTAGATTCTTAAGGCAGCATCTCAACATCAATGGTTTAGATCACATATTCAGTGAAAGAAGCAAACTGTGCAGCATGGTAACTTTGACCACCATATCTCATCCAAATGTTCATTTTGTAAATCTTTATTTGATGGAGAAGGTTAATTGTGGTCATAAAAAAACCTCCAATACCATTCCCTCAATGCATCATGAGTTCCAAATGGTACGCAATGCCAATAGACTACAAAGACTTGAAGAGGTTATTCCGGAAATATTGGTGGTAATTTCTACGACATTGTAAGAGAAATACTTACCGGCAACCGGAGAAAAGTTTTTAGGCATGATTAACAACACTTTTCTCAAATTCCAATGGATAGGTAACAACTTCACTAGCGGTGCATCAACACGCGTTCAAACACCGTAGAGAAATTACCGCTGATTTGTCACTTAAATACGCTAAAGGACGTCCAGGACGAAACGAGGAATGATTAAATTTCGCGAACGAGATCCAGCAGAAAGTATTTGATAAACTACAGGCAGAATATTCTCAAAAACGATCCTAAACTTTGAAAATAATTGCGAGGCTTCGTTCGGTCGCTTCGTCGTCGCCGAGATAACAACTAGTATCAACAACAACATCGGTAACGATGACCGGTGAACAGAGAACTATTTCCGTTGCGACGCGCGAAAAATTCTGATTATTCAAAAAGAAAGCTGAGTTTCGCACAACTTCAGTCGTGCACAACTCGAGAAAGAGAAGCCCTCGACGCGGCGGTCGGCATGTAACACATATCAGCGCCTACGAGACTGCATGAATACTTCACGCATTGCGTCAAACACAGTACGGTCGACAGCGGTCGGCGCGGCGTGAAACGCACAGTGCCTACAAGACTACATGAATACTTCACGCATTGCGCCAAGCACTGCATTGCGCCACACAGCATTGTGGTCAGCGCGGCACAGTGGCGGAAGTTAAAATTATTAAACCACATTTATGTTTGTTCTCTCTTGATTTTTTATTTCATTTCTTACAAATGAAAGGCCTTGTCCCCACAGAGATAGGTTTACGGAACTGAACTTTCGCGCGAAGTTCCGTGAACTTTTGCCAGTAGTGTTGACAGGACTTACGCAAAAAATGTGTCTAACACGAGTGAACGCGTCTTATGCACCCTTCTCCCTCCAGCATGTTCATTTGATGGTTTTTTATTGATGTTTCAAAATGAATGAGAAGAGGGCGGCACAACACAGGCGGCCCATGGGCGGCAAGTAAGGTAAATCCGGCCATGCCTTTGAAGTAGTTGGAACTTGTATTTAATCGACGCGACGGTGAAATCCTAAACCACGTATCTGCAGTGTTTAGAAACCTCCTGTCCGATTTTTTTTTTTTTTTTTTTTCTTTTTTTCTTTTTTGACGGAGAAAAAATCAACACCGTTCCTTGAAATTACGACGGTAAAACTCCAAAACTGCACTTATCTCTATTTGAAACGTTGCAGGCTTCCTGTCATATTTTATCTTTTAAATTGAAAATTACTCAACGTCAATTTGTATAAAGTTCCGTGAATTTTTTACTCCGAGCGGAGTAAATACTGAAAAATAATGACAGAAATGATGCAGGCATGTTTTTCTGCGATAAAATAAAAGAGAAGCGGACATTTTTAAGCATTGCAAACGAGATACGTAGTTTGGTAGTTTCACCACCGATAAACGAAAACGCGATGACATAATATGTGAACTCGTAATGCTCCGTTTAAATACCTACTGGCTAGTGAGGTGTCATGCAGATTCGGAGGAAAAGTTTTAAAAAACGAAACCGGATAGCATCTCTCCTTCCTGCGGCTGTGTTGCTTCGTATCCCTTGAAGCACCACTATAAGTACAAATATTACAAACGGAAACAAACACACCATAAAAATAGCTAGGGAAAGGACAAGCGTTAATAATGACGGCGCAGAGATAGAACTATTCGTACTTGATGGATGTCTGTGTTGCATCTGCAAAATTGAAGGAGCGATGGTGCGAGGAGTGAACTCTGAGTGCTCTGGTTTATGCTGCCAATGAATTATCTAAGCGTCGCTCAGATTTGGGAGAAAATTTAAGAAACGAGGCCAAATCTATTCTATCTTCGGCTGTGTCGACAATCGATTTTTTTTTTTTTTTTTTTTCAATTTGATGCCTGATTCTTCCTTTTCGATGTAAATTGTAGACCTTTATCTACGGCTCGTGTGTACCGGCTCCATACAACACGCAGGGCACAAGTTTTTAGCCAGCTTTGGGTCAATTTAAGCCGGCTTATAATCACTTAAGGGTTAAAGAACGATATATGACGGGAAGTCTTAAAAGTCTCAGACCAAAATACGTGGTTTGGTATTTTTAAAATCGATACTTACCTATGTTGTTTCCTAATGTAAGTGGGGGTCGCCCGATTCCCTCCCGGCTGAGAGAAAAAGAAGGCAAATTGGTAACCTCGCAGCAATTATGTCTAGGAATCCTGTTGAAGGAAGATCCATAAGGTTGGTTTGGCTTTGGATTTTAAAGACCCCGGCTCTGAAATTGGCAAACTGCACCACATTTTCAGTCTACTTTTTCTGCACCCTTGTGAGGTTGGTGATATTTTTGCTGCATTTAAGTCAGATCAGCCAGCTAGCGACAAGTTAGACGAATTCATGGATTATCTATGCGACTTTTTTGTTTTGGAAAGTGCCATGTTTCCCCCTTCCATGTGGGCTGCCTGCATTTTGTTTCAATTGTTTCTCACAAAAATTCACCCAACATCTTCTCATAATTATTTTAAATCCATGTTTACGTTTCAACAATTTTGACACGGACTTCAAATTGCTAAGTTTCTTTTAATGTTTTTTAACTCTCATTTATAATTGCTGCGAGGTTACCAATTTGCCTTCTTTTTCTCTCAGCCGGGAGGGAATCGGGCGACCCCCACTTACATTAGGAAACAACATAGGTAAGTATCGATTTTAAAAATACCAAACCACGTATTTTGGTCTGAGACTTTTAAGACTTCCCGTCATATATCGTTCTTTAACCCTTAAATGACTATAAGCAGGCTTAAATTGACCCAAAGCTGGCTAAAAACTTGTGCCCTGCGTGTTGTATGGAGCCGGTACACACGAGCCGTAGATAAAGGTCTACAGTTTACATCGTAAAGGAAAAATCAGACATAAACTTGATTAAAAAAAAAAAAAAAAAAAAAAAAAAAAAAAAAAAAATGGGTGTCGAAGATAGAATAGACGTAATTAGTCCTTGTTTCTTAACTTTTCTTTCTCCCAAATCTGAGCGACACTTCGTTAATAAATTTATTGGCAGCATAGACCAGAGCATTCAGAGTTCACGCCTCGCGCCATCGCGCCTTCAATTTTACAGATACAACCCGGACATCCATCAAGTACGAATAGTTGTATCTCTGCGCCGTCATTAACGCTTGTCCTTTCCCTTGTCGTTTGTATATTTGTATATTTGTAATATTTGTAATATTTGTAATATTTGTAATATTTGTAATATTTGTAATATTTGTAATATTTGTAATATTTGTAATATTTGTAATATTTGTAATATTTGTAATATTTGTAGTTTGTAATATTTGTAGTAATATTTGTAATTTATTTAGGGCAAAGCAATACAACATCACTCCGGAGCACAAATATGCGCATCGTGGTGGTCGTTTTGCGTTGGAAACGCGTACCTCGGTTTGCGGAGCACAGTGGATCGAGTTAATTAAGGAGGTCGGACATGAATTTGTTTTACGAAAACAGCAAATTTCGATGTTTATTTCGTCACATTATAAATTTTCAGGGGTGCTGATGACAGAAAATTTCACGAGGAAACCAATTGAACTACTTTTAGAGCCTCCAAATGTTGTATGAACGGAGTTATAAGCTTTTTAAGTTTCCAAATGTTGTCCGACCTCTTCTATTGACTCGATTCACTGTGTGGCGTCTCAGACTTCCTGTCGTGCTTTATTTCCTACACGGAAAACTACTTAAATTGTGATTTCTCGGAAACTTCCTTAATTTTGCCTCTATGTGTGAAAATGTTCTGGTCAGATTTCAAGCCGTTCTGTTGGTTCGGTCTACTTTAGAAAATGAAATAGAGATGGAGATTTTGAAACACCGCAATCGGACTACGAGTTTTTGCAGTTTCACCGTCAGTTAACCACTATATCATAGGAGGTCATGAACACTGGAAAAAAGACACATTGGAACTAGAGTCCAGACTCTTAAAAACATCGACAAGAAAAAATACTCTTGATTCAATCGGATTTTTGCTTGAATCAAGAACCAAGCCTCTTAATTTGAGCGGATTTCCGTTTGATTTCAGCAAAAATCTGATTGAATCAATAGTATTTTTTCTTGTCAATGTTTTCAAGAGTCTGCACTCTAGATCCAATACGGTTTTTTTCCCAGTGAATGCTCCTCAAAATTGATGGAGTCAAAAAGCACGATTTCAAAGGATTGATATCTAAAAGTAGGATTATCATTTGTTTTTTTTTTTGTTTTTTTTTTTACTTTTTTGCTTTTCTTTCCTCTTTTTTGGCTAAAGAAAAAACCACATGCTACGTGGTACAGAAAACTGAAATCATAGTCCATAATCTAAAATCATAAGAGCAACGCGTAACGCATACAAAATTGCAGTTTATCACTCCCTGCTCCCCGCGCCGCGCCTCGCTTATTTAACGTTGCGGTGGAAGACCATACAAATATTTTGGCCTAAGTTGCCTGAATTGCATAACCGTCAAGATGTAGAAGCATGAAGCCTCTCGAACGTATTTTCACGCGTAAAATAAAATTAATCGCAATTAATACTAACAGTTCTTGGCACGACAGACTTAAGAGGGCCGTCCAATCAAACAACACCAAAAAATGAGTTGACCTCCATGCCTAATTGATAATCAGTAGGTTTATACAGTCTCTATTACTGTCACCATGTTTATTAATAGTAGGCAAAAAGTGCTAGGCCGTGCGTTAATGATAGGGGATGGTACATCGGTCATTGACCGATGAACCCACACTGAAGCTCAGATTGACGATGATGAACGAATTTGAAACATAAATATACCCACGAAAAGATTCATCCTCTTCGTGTATAAAGATTACAAGCCCAGGCTGGCTCAAAATGTCGTGAGACATGTGTAAAAAACAGTTTCAGACATTAATTTGTTTGTTAAAATCTTTCGAATTGTTTTCTTTTTTAACTTGAAATTGGCGCATTACACTTTAAAACACCCCTGATTCCGCCTTTCATTGATTTTTATCTGAATGATTTTGACTTTTCTCGCACTTTCATTGACTTGATAGTTGGATCCGTTCAGCGGCTAGTGCTAACTAATGACGGCTTAATTATGCCAACTTTTATGAGGGTGAAAAAATGCTCCGTCTGATTGGCACGGAATTCGTCTCCACGAAGGGATTAATTTACCCACAAATTCGGTCACGGCTAACACCCCCCTGCCAGCCCCCGCCAGCGCGGTTGTAAACCCTCGCGTGCACCCAAGTTCATATTGAATGAAATCCAACTCCTATGTAAACAACCGCGGAGGAAAATCAATATTTTACACTTATTTATTTAGTCGCTCGCCGGACAAATGACCAGGAACTCCGAAATGAATCCTCCCCAGACGCTGGAACCGTTATTGTTGCCCTTAAATAACATAAATTCAATTTCGACCGCGCTTCTGCCTCCGTTTTTCCTTCCTTTTTTTCATTATTCAACACCCGTCTGCAGACAGGCCACGGGTAACCTTTGCAACTTGGTCGATAGAGAATGTGCGTTGCCAATCTAAGCATCCCCCGCTCGTTTCCGAATCCGTCGTTGATATTTCCCAAGTTTCCGTCGTCGAGACTTTCCTTTTCGCGGATGAAATAAGCCTTGTCTCGGGTGGATTTTCTAGGTTATTCGGCCCTTGAACGGCGGAGCAGTTAAAATCAATGTGGGAACATTTTTCACGGCTGAGGGCGCGGTGTGCGGCGGCGCCGCCGGTTGGCACCACTGCCCGAGTGTGACGTTTTCCGGGGGACGTTAGTTCGGATCGCAAGCAGCCCTCGAGAGGTTGTGTCGCCCGGCCAGGCTCCGTTATTTACGCCCCTGTTGTTTATGTTTCTTGCTTCGCTCGGATGTGAAATGTCAGCTAGATGTGCACCGCGTGTCGTAGTTTAGTCCCGCAACTCGTGTCTCCGCCTCAAGAGAAATGCTCCAGAAAGTTTTCGCCGTAAGTCTAGTTAACCTCAAACACCTATTCCAGCTTTCAAAGGGGTCCTCATCTCCTCAGATCCAGTATGCATGGAAGCAAAATCGTCAAACCAAAATTATATTTTCACATTTTTAGATGCAATGGATTCCTGATCGCAGTGACGGATAAGCTCATTTTACCATCGGAAAAATCGGAGTATCGAAGAATGCTTAAGGAGCGCTTCCTTTCCACTTCAATCCAGCTCGCATAATATCATTTTTACAATTATTTATATGCTACCATAATATTTTGGAACAAATTTCTGTGAAAGTAATCTGTCTCTCGACGGATTTTTTCAGGGGACACGAAATTTTCAACTAGACACATTTCAGCATAAAAGATTTAAAATGTATCAATACGTTTAACATAATCATTTTATTTCATATTTTAATAACAATATGCGGGGGAAAAATAGATTGCAATAGTTTGTGATTATCCTACACCCTCTGGAATTCATTTCGCAAAGTATCTTGACCCAAAGTAGGGGAGTGGGGGCTCATCTGGACCTGACTTTCCCGAGGTGATTCTGATGAATGTGAACCACAGGATATGAATTTTTTACCCTGCACGAACCGGAAGTATCTCCAGCTACCAAAATTTGCCTAGAATAGGTTTTGACGGGCTTTTACTTTTGAACAGGAAATTTTACTCTCCCCCCCAAAAAATGAAATCTGAACCCGTGGGGACAGCGGAACCAGGAATTCTAACTCAAGAAATCATTGCAAACTTTATCAAAAAGAGCTTCACATATGGACCAACCAACAAGGTCGGAATTAAATCATTAGCATGTCATCAAATTCGAGTTCAAGTGGTTTTATTCATTTTTATTCTTATGTAGCAAAATTAACTTTCTTCTTATATTAATTTCAGTCTAAATGACTGTAAACGCCGTTTTATGCCCTCTTCCACCTCCGTACTCACCTCAACTAACTTGAAGCCATCTTCTAGGGGAAACATACTTATCAGAGCGGTAGATCTCTTGCCTATGTTCATCCCCACTCAAGACTTGGATTTCAAAATTTTTCTAGAAACAAACTTAATAAGTGATGAAAGTACACATGTATAGGTAAACAGCAAAAACTATTAAAATGCATTAACTATATGCTTACAAATATTATCCAAGAGATTTCGAACTGAGCCAGGGTTTCGAGAAACAAGTTCTATATGTATAACTTGTCAATCCCACCAAAACACATATTGCGTGAAAGTATCAAACATGGCTAATTACATGACGGGACACTGTTGATGTTTTTATATAAAATATGATATTTTTTCACTACGGCAACTTTTCTTTAAGCTGAAAATGCGAAATTCCTTTTTTCACCCGAATTTCTGCCATAAGTGATTCGGGTGACCATTATACTTCAACCGCCCCCTCTCTCCCATTTTGGATAACTTTTTCGTAAAAGAAGAAAAAGGAAAAGGAAGGATGAGGACAAGGATAACCTTTGAGAAAAGATTCTGAAACGTTGCAGTGAACTTACATCATTTTTGCTGCGCATGGTATCCAATCGATTCAAAGTCCTTTTCATATCTTTCATAATATGTGAACACAAATGGAGATTGAGCAAGGGAACGGGCGCGCGTTGATGACGGCGCAGAGATACAACTATTCGTACTTGATGGATGTCCGTATTGCGTCTGCAAAATTGAAGGCGCTATGGCGGAAGGCGTGAAATCGCAATGCTCCGCTCCATGCTGCTTAGTGAGGTGTGGCTTAACTTCGGGAGGAATGTTAAAGAGACGAGGCCCGAGCACCTGCTATCTTTGACTATTTTGACACTCGATATTTATCTCTTTTTACTTTCTCGCTACACCCTAGGGTGGAGGAAGTATTTTTTTTCAATTTGATGTCTGATTTTTTATGGTGAATTTTTAGACCTATATCTAATGATTGTATGTACTGGCCTCATACATTTATTTCCATTTTTATTCCCCGTGGGTTTTTTTTAGAATATTTTAAACGATACGATACTTGAAAATTTCGTGAAATTTCTAAAATCAGGAGTAACTACTGACTGAAAATCTAATCTCGAAATTAATTATCGTCCAGTACATTTCTTTTTCCAGTATTTTAGAGAGAAGTGTCAAATGCGGCCATAAAGCTCACCTTTACAGCAAGGCCTCTGTTACGTTACTTCATTGTTAGCGCTGATCTGTTCTGTGCACTTTGATACGGCAAAAATATACGTCTAATTTTAATATTTTCAACCCACTATGTTCCTCCCCCCACCCCCCTCAGCTTTAGATATTTTCCTCAAGATAGACTACATTGTTCTCAACTGCAATAGATTATGTCTTTTGCGATGAGGAGAGAGGAAAGTATAAGGAGGTATGAGAAGGATCATAATAAATACCAATCAAACTGGAGGATTGCAACGGACTTTTGGAAATAACACCTTTTTATTAACGGCGAGTTACCGTCTCCGCGTACTAAAACATCCACGCGCTTTGATATACCACCAAATCCACATGAACCTTTTCGGAATCGAAATTGCAGGATTTAACATGAGAAATCAGTTCGCACAGTCACTTGATTTATTTCTTCCACAATTCGCGCCTGAAATGACGTAATCTCAGCTAAAAGCTATAAGCGAGGGACTGTGCCGATTTATGGAAAGAAGAATTCAAAAAAGCACTCACATGAAAGACATATTTTGATGACTCTCTCTTGCCCCCAGACCGTGAAATGATATAAGCCCCTGGAAATTTTCTTCGCGGTGTCTGTATAACGACCCAAACTTCCGTCCTAACAAAGTTGACCTTTATGGGCTGGATGCTTTCAAACACTGTTTACACAGCTTCAAATTTATTTTCGAGCCTGAAACGGCCAAGTTTATTCACGGCATTATAAACCACGCATATCTCAAACAGCGCGGCTCGCAGGAAAGCAAAGTAAACTTTCGCGGGCCATCGAGGGTTTATTTAAGCTGACGGGCGTCTATTGAGGCGTTTATGAAATTTAAGCCTCACTCAGCCCTCCCATTAGCGGGAGAGACTTTAAAAGCGCATCCATAACTTTATTTTCTTGCTGATTTTGAGTATTAGTGTAAGCTTATCCGTCCGACGAGTTTGAAAAAAGGACGGTATGGTGAGAGAAGTAGAGACTTTAGCGCGAAAAAGTACCCTATACGCTGTGGTCGATCAATTATTTATGAGAACCACGAGAGAAACTAAATGGGGGTTTGCTCTCCAAAACACACACGCACACGCCCTCACACATACACCTTCACTTGGCCCCGTGTTTTATTTAAGACTTCTATTGTGAATAGAGCCATCTCTGCTTGATGACGTCAAATTGTTGGTTGCAAGTTGGCTCAACGCCTAAATACAATTATTCGTACTCGGTGGATGTCCGTGGTTGCATACAGATGAAAATGAAGGCACTTTGCCTTATTCGATTCCCACATCTAGTACGGAGCACCATCGTCGCATGTTGCTCGCTACTGTCCACGTTGCTTTCGAGAGTTTTAAGTATTGAATATTCTCTTTATTTAATGTTAGAAATATGAGGCAAGCAACAAAATATTTTGATATTTTCGCATTTAATGGATATGAGGGATAAATTATTAAACTTTTCATTCATCAAAAACAGATGAAGCTCATTTTTGACACACGAAAAACGTTTTACTCTATTCATTAACGTCCAGAGTCTCTTTAAAGATTGATTTTTAAGTGAAGATTCAATTTCTCAATTTGCAATTTAGTTACTTCATCTCTTGTACACCACTCCATTGCACTGCCTTGCAACATTTTGTCGCATTAATTTAATGAGATCTATCCTTTATGGGATGCACCAACTGTTTCCCAGGATGCTTTCAAAGAGTAATCTCAATAATTAAATATGAGATAAAATAATGACAAATCTGAAAACCCTATATTTATTAGAAAATCATAAATTTGACATTCATTTTCCAACATGTCTTTTAGAATTTTTTTTCCTTTTACGGTTGGATCGTGAAATTTCTACTGGTAACAGTATAGAAATATTGCACAATCTTGAATACAATGGTTGCGGGTTTGTTTTCTTTTGGAGACATCCAATTTGTGTACATGAAACGACTCAATTTAGTGACTGTCTCTTCAATTACCGTTGAAATGCGGGCATTCAGAATGAGGTGAAGACGAAGAGAGAGGAGGGGGGCAAAGGGGCGGTTGGTTCGTTTAAATGAATGAATAATACGTTCGGATTCTTTACGATATTGATTATAGAAACGCGAATGACCTACTGAAGACTTGTTTATTCTAGATTTAACACGAGACGGCTCCCAGCTCCAGTCGCGAAAGCAGTAATGATCGGCCCACCGTTGCAAAATCGAACGGTGAATTTGGAATTTTCTCCATCGATTCACAGAGGAAATGCATGAGCATTCTTGTAAAATTTGGCAAATCTCTGTGCTAATATTCTACAGACAACGTTCACGGAATGAAGAATTTCTTCGTTGAAATTGCGCTGAGTGGGTGTACATTATTCCTATTTAAGTACGTGCGAATGAAATGGTTGACTAACCCAGATTATACCGCTGGTAAAACTATTAAACCATGGATTTTGATTGTGACGTTCGAGAAACTCCGCCAAAATTTCATATTTTGAGAGAATACCTTTCGAAATTTTCGCGGTAAATATTCAAAAAATATTGTTGAAAGAGCAAAGAACAATCAAATGAAATTTTTTACAAAAATAAGAACGAAGCCTTATTTGGAAAATTAGAGAGTGAGATTTACAATTGCAAAAACCGAACTTTGCTGTTTGGTACTATTGACATCGTATACAAAATTTTACGTCCCGACAAATTCTAACAGAAAGTATTGTGCAGTAGAAGGGAGGATATCCTCGTTTTCCAAAAAGAGGTACGTAACTTCATTTTAGGAATTTTGAATTTACCGGACTAGAGTTACGGTCAATCAATAAATATTAAAACACTCACTAGTCTGATTGTTTTTTGTTGAACCGACGCGTCGGCCAATCTGGCCACCAT